AGAGAGAGAGAGAGAGAGAGAGAGAGAGAGAGAGAGAGAGAGAGAGAATACGATATACAGTAATAATAATATAACGAGTTGAAGAAAATATGCATGATTTGTTAAAGATAATTTAAATATAGTCTAGTGAGGAGGTGTTAATTATTTAAGAGGAATGAAAGAAATTCTTTTACTGTAGATATAATAAATAACTAACGAAAGAAAATAAATAACTTGCGAATGCAATTATAATAGGAACATTTATAATATAAAATAATTAAATATACTTTGAAAGTGCTGCGCAGCCAGTACGATAAATATTTCTTATAAAGTACGAAAATTATAAAATGCAAAATCCTTACTTTGTAGTTGAAATCTTCGACGTTGTTCAGAAAGTCAATTTGAATTTTCCTTGTCGCGCTTTATGTTGCAAATTGTTTGGTTACAGGATCGAGCGAGAAACGTCTCCGAGAGATTCACATCCACGACCACGCTGACGGTGAACATACGGGATGACGACGATCAGGATCCGTCCTTTATTTATCAAGGCTGTATGCTTTCGGACGGCGCCTGCATCAATCCAGAATACTCGGCATCGGTACTTATTTTTTTTATATCATTTTATTATCATGTTGTACTATAAAAACAACTGCTGCTCGAATTCGAGCGCGTGTTAACGGGGTGAGAAGATTATTTTAACAGGGCGTTTCCCTGCCCTTAAAATTTATAGTGCTGAAAAATTTAAGTGTAATCGAATACGCGCGCCTAATCGGCCGCTGATATCTCACTGCTGAAATTCACGTAGCCAATAAATCGGTTGCAACCGGTTCTGCAAGAGCGATTCTCTTTTTCTCTCCGTCAGGTATCGAGCGGAGTACTATCCGGCATACTCAATATCTCGCCCGAGAAAATACAGGCGGTCGACATGGACAGTATAAACGCACCGATTCACTATTCCTTCCTCAGCGGAAATCCGCCGAATTACCGGGATTTCTTCGAGATCAATCCTAACACCGGGGCGGTGAAGCAAATTAAAGCCGTCGACACGACAGTAACGAAGAAGTTCGATATTATTATTAAGGTAAATATTAACGTTGTATTTTTATGTCACGCTGAAAGAATGTTTAAATATAAAATTTTGAATAATTTAGAATTATTCCATATAAGAGGCTAAAGAATACAAGAAAGTCTGAAAAATTATTGTCTATATTATTATAAGTATTTTTTGTCTTTCAATAATATTACTAATTGATTCTTTCACGTTTAAGAAAATAATTACATTTGAGAAAATAACGCAAAATTTCTCGTTACAACGCGTATAACTTAAACTTTTTTTCCCAAATTTGTGAAAAACGCGTAATAATTAGGCGTTTTCTTCTTCTTTTTTTTGAGGCGGTTGAAGTGTCCGAAGCGAAGCGGTCGGCTACTGCCAAATTAACAATCACCGTCAAGCCGGTCGACAGCAATCCACCCGTTATAATAGCGTCAAACATCGAAGGTTTCGTCGACGAGAACGCTCCGATCGGCACAAAGGTCATCGATAAAAGCGGGAATCCCATTGTGCTCACCGTGTCGGATGCTGATCTGGTGAGTCTGATCCCGTAGATTCTATCGGTTTCTATTTAACGAAGCGCGACTGAGGTGCGAATCAACCATTTAATTTTCTCCATTGTTAGCGGATAAGACCTGTGTCACGCTGATGAAACTCGTGTATTTGAAGTCATTGGCTTTTTTTCTAAAAAAAAAAAAAAAATTTGTTTCTAGGGACCAGACGATCCGAAACCGACATATACTTTCGAGCTGACGACGAATTTCTTTGCGATCGATCCGTCCGGCGTCCTTGTCGTGAACGAGGAGAATTTGGACCGGGATCCTCCGAGTCCCGGCCGCTTCCGATTTCAAGTAGTCGCCCGGGAGAAAACGGGTGTGGCCGCGTCGTCGCCTCTGTCATTTGTCGTGACGTTGAACGATGTCAACGACAATGCGCCTCTGCTTCCAATGATGGCACCGATCACCGTTCAAGCGGGAGAGACGAAGAGACAAATAGCAAAGGTGGTTTTCTTATATTTTAATTGATTAACAATTTTACATGTTCCAGTATGATAATAATTTTGAGTGATTTGAAGGTTTCTACATTTGATACCTTTTTGGTACTTCTCACGATTGTCAGTGATTATTGCTTGTCGATACTCCACAATTCTTTCTCACGCTTATGAGACTTCAGGAGAAAAATTTAATTTTGGTTAATTTTACACAGGTGGAGGCGACGGACAATGACGAGGGCGAGAACGCCGAGATAACGTACAGTATCTATCACGTGTCGAACAACGGCTTGCAAAAGTTCAAGATAGATCCGAAGACTGGAGTTATCGAATCCGTGAGGAAACTGAACGCCGGCGAACAGTTCAGCATCACGGTGCAGGCCACCGACAAGGGTGGCAAGTACTCGCAGACAATCGTCGAGGTGAACGTCATTCCCGGGCCCAACACCAGAAGTCCCGTGTTCCAGCAACCGGTGTACGAGGTGCAAGTCAGCGAGGGGGCCTCCATCAATTCCACAGTTGCGACTATCACTGTGAGTATCCTCGATGTGATGTCCATCTCGTCGATGTTTTGTTTTAAACTCCAACTGCTCTAACAGAAGCACAGTATCTGCTCGATATGTACTTCATTGTTTTTTTTTCCTTCGTCCTTTTATCGCGTTGATGAAGCATCCGATCTACGTTTTTCTATTTACACTAATTTTTTGAATTAACATTTTTTTTCGAACTACTTATACACAAGAAACATTTTCTACAATTAATTATTATTTATTAGAATGCGTATTTTTCTTTTTCGAATTCGATCCGAATTGTATCTCTCTTTTTAAAACAACGGATTTTTAAACGATCGTAATCGTAATATAGCGTTACTAATTAATATTACAGGCCATCGACCCAGAAAACGATCCGGTGTCGTACTCGATAGTATCGGGGAATGACTTGCGTCAGTTTTCGATTGGCGACAAATCAGGCGTTATTACCGTTATAAGGAAGTTGGATAGGGAGGACCTGACCCGGTATCAATTGGTAAGCCGATATCGTCAAACACCGTAGCACGAACTTCCTACACTCTCTACTACAAGCCAATGCACTTCTCGCTTTACGCCTCTTTCTACCGACAGCTTTTATCTAATCTAAGGAAACATCGGTGTGCCTCTTCCTCCGCTTGTAAACGAGTAACTGTGCGAAATCGAAACACAACGAGTTCTTAACTTTCAGTGCACACCCGATCCACTTATACATATACTTTGAATAAAAATGTAGAAATTTATATTTAAAATATTTAACATCTTTTATATCCAATTTCTTAGAGTTCTTGTAAAAGAACAGTATACTAAAATCTTATTGATTGAGTCATCCAAATATTTTTATTATTGAAACGATTCGCCACTGTACATGTCGTGTTCTACTAAAATTAGAGTAAATTAAAAGCGGAATGTAATGCAATGACATTATTGGTTTATGTAGTTAATAAAGGCCGAGGATACCGGCGGCCTGTACAGCACTGCGACGGTCAATATCATGGTCACCGATATCAATGACAAGAACCCCGAATTCGTGGGTCTTCCTTACGAATTTACCGTTAAGGAGGGCGAAGCGCGTAAACTAATCGGCCGCGTGCATGCTGAAGACGCCGATGAAGGTATAAACGCCGAGATCACTTATTTCGCACCCGATGATATTCCTTTCACCGTGGATCCTGAGACCGGAGATGTTCTGACAAAAATAGTGTTGGACTACGAGCAGAATGACGTGAGTAATCTTTCTATTGTTCTTTCAGCTTTCAATATAAAAATATTGAGAATAATAGACTTATATTATTTTTAACAACGTTAACTTGAAAAGTACTCTATATAAGTACTTTGATACTTTTCATCCTACGACTTTTTCATGTGAGAAAATAATTTCGGGATATTTGAATATTACAGAGTTATTAGAGATAATTGAAGAAGTTTCAACAGTTAATGAGTTTTTACGTTTTGTTTGAATTTGTGAAAAGCTGTATCAAATAATGCGTAAAAACTAACACCATTCGTTATGGGTATAATTCTGTAGCTTAATTTTGGACTTTCCGGGAACGGTCTTTTGTCGCACGAGAGTTATAAAGTGTGATTACAACTCGAGAATGCTTACAATGAAACGGTATAGTTTATACTCGGATTGCGAACAGTTAAATTACAATTGTACTATTGTGTGCGCCTGTGTGCATGAGACAAAGAGAATAGGCAAACTGTATGTCTGAGTTAAAATTCGCGCGTATTTTATTTGCGGAAACGCAATGTGTAAAAAAAGTCCAATGATAATTTCATGTAACAATGTATGCAATGTGATAAAAACTTTTAATTTTTAATTAATTACATTAGTAGTCATTAAAATCGTTTTATACTGTTAAATATTAAAGGATGAAATTTAAACCAATAAGTTAAATAAACTTTGAGTTTTAACTCCATTGGTTAGTAGTTTAGTAGTTTAGTTAAATTAACATTATTTTAATTTAATATTGGAGCAGTGGCGGTCTATAGGAATGGTAAAAAATGACTCAAATTGAGTATAATTTGACACAACGAACTTAACGGTGCAAGAATGCGTGATTTGTACAGTCAAAAATTTTCATTTTTATTTTGATATTCTCTTGAACTTCAGAATTAAATTATAAAATAAAAATCAGTAAGTTGGACGTAATAGTAAATAAAGAACGTAATAAAACATGGTATTTGCATAAATTGCGTAGGAATACAAATTCGTAGTAACTGCAAGGGATGGAGCTCCCGATTATCGTTTGGCAACCGCGACAGTCACAGTTAAAGTCATAGACGTCGAGGACGAGGTCCCAGTCTTTCACCAAAGCAGTTACGAGGCACGTGTCAAGGAAAACGTGCCTGACTACAATGTAATTCAAGTCACGGTGAGTCGCATGTTAAACCATACTAATACTACTAATAATGTCGTCTTTCTTCGATTGGAAAACGTGTAAAGCGATAGAAATACGATAAAAAGCAATTCGTTCGTCGGATTAATTTGTCTATTCGTATCAGTTCCTGCGATTTAATTTAACGAGGATCGAGAATCTCGTGCAGCAACGCTGATAGATTTAACGTGAATCTCACATGCGAGACGTTCGCGTTAAGATAAAGCGTCCTCGCGTAACACGCCGAGTGTGAAATTAGTTCTGAAGTGGATCATAATAAGGTGAGATGTAATTTCATCGAGAACGAATGACGAGACTTCGCTCGAGGAGTTGCGAAAGTTCATCGGATAATCGAGACGTACACTCGTCCCGACTCGGACGAGATATTCGCGTTACTCGCGTCGTCGACGATTCCCATCCCCCGCCGACGAAGTGGAAAGGACGAAGTGCGTCCTAGCTCGTCTTACTCGGGTTTTGAAGCTAACGCGATCATTTCTAGGCCGATGATCCGGACACAAAGAAGCAAATTACGTACATGATCAAGCAAGGGGATACCGAACTCTTCAGCATAGACCCGAAGACTGGAGTAATAAAAACTATCCGTGGTCTCGATTACGAAAGCCAGAGCCAGCATGTGCTTATCGTGGGCACCGAGGAGAACACCAGCGATTTACCTGGCTCCACCACTCGCGTTGTTATTAATGTTCAGGTATTTTTTATAAGTGACTCTTTGTGGTAGTTGTCAACATCTATCATCGATTTAATACTATCGTTCATTGGCGCATCATATGTAACATACATGAATGCCACTTTTAGAATATCACATTATACAGACAGCTCTTATATAAACTGCTGTCGATTTTTATTTATTATATTTCGCGTGAGAAGTAATTAATTTTGATAAAGTACATTTCGTTTTATTTTAATAAAATAAATTTTCTAATTAATGATCTAGAAGATCTTATCTAATTAAATTAAATATATATACATGACACAGCTATAGTTGTTCAAGATTGTTAATGTATTCGTGTATTGGAATCTTTAAGATATTAAAACGGGAATTGATTATCTGTCACAGTCTCAGGAATTAATCCATGGAATTAATTTAACGGAACCGGTTCATGTTGAGCGCATTAATATCATAATCAACGATTACCCTATCATTTATCGTGCTTCGACTACTTTTAATTTAACTGTATCTTATTACTCGGCGCATTAATAACGTTCTAAATGCAACGTGGCAGGATGTGAACGACATTCCACCGGTATTTACGTCGGTACCGCGTCCGATTACCCTGGACGACGATGTCCCTATAGGAACGACCGTAATCGATCTCGTTGCTGCAGATTCCGACGGCACCGCGCCGGGAAATCAGGTAGGTACATTCTTCCACGCACGTTTTGACTTCTTTGTTCCTAACTCGCAAAGAGGAAGATTTTTCACCGAGCTCGATGCCCGTAGGTTCGATACGAGATCATCGGCCGCGGTATCGCCAGCAAGTACTTCGTAATCGATCCCGACAACGGCGTACTCCGAATACGAGACGACTTACGCAAGGAGACCGACTCCGAGTATCAGGTATTTGATCTTCCGTATATAATTCGACGCCGCGTCTAGCTCGCGATCTGCCTCATCTACGCAGGTAATTCCTTTTTCCCAGGTCGATGTGCGTGCATACGATATGGGAGAGCCGCAATTGTCGTCCGTGACGACTGTGCCGGTCTACGTACGTCACGTGGCAACGGTACCGCCGGAGATCGGTTTGGGTTTCGCGGAGAACTCGTACAACGTGGAGGTGCCTGAGGACGCGGGTGACAACACGCTAATAAAGATAATCACCATTATCAACAGTCACGCACACGACATCACGCCGCTCAGGTGTGAGATTTACAGCGGCAATGAGGAGGGCCTGTTCGAAGCAAACGTCACGGAAGAGCGAAATTGCGCCCTGAGACTGAAGAAAGGAGCGCTGGATTATGAGACCACGGAATCTTATCAGATTAAGATCAAGCTGGAATCGCTCTCGGGTCTTTTAAATTCAGGCAGAAATACGACGATGGTAAGACTCGATAGATTTCTGAACTTGCCGGCGCTTGAAGCACGAATTCTTATAATCGGGATAAAATCGTAGCCGCTAACACAAACTAATATATCGGAGATAAAAAAATTCAAACATATATAAAAGATATAGAAAAGTTTAAGTTACTTCTCCTGCAGATGTATTAGCATTATTGCTTCAATTAGAAATCTTCATGTAAGAGTCTATTCAGATTACGCAGATTACGCAGGTTACGCAGATTACGCAGATTTTACGCAGAATTTTTAGATACTAAACTATCTGTTTTATCTGTCATTATTTAAGCAGAAATTATTTTCACACATTAAACTTATATAGAGAAGAGAAACAAATTAAAAAAAATCTAATTTGTGAAAAAAAAACAACTCGTTACATTTCACTGCAAATTAAGTATCAATTTTCATTTGTCTCCAATTGTAAGAATGAAAACACGTTTGGTCGCAGGTGAAGATTCAGGTGCTGGACGTAAATGACAATAAACCCGAGTTTATCTTCCCGGAAACGAGTCAGAAGCTTACGCGGGGACGTTACTTTGCGGCAATTCCGCGCACTGCGCAATTCGCGTCTACCGTCCTACAGGTGAAAGCTCACGATAAAGACAATGGCAAATACGGCAAGCTGGAGTACAAGATTCTTGAAGGGCGAGGCTCCGGTTACTTCGCCATCGACGGCTCCAACGGGATAATTAGGACAACGGCGACGTTTGATCACGTGGATGCATCTGAGCTTCCTTTCAAGTTTGACGTTCGCGTGCGCGACAACCCCAATTCGACCGACAACTATAATTCGATTGTCGCGCCGGTGATCATCAATCTTATCGGGGAAGAGAACCTAATGATCCTGGTGGTGCAGGACGCGGCACCGGACGTCCTACAAAAGGAGGCTGGCAAAATAGCGGATGTAATCGAACAGAAGAGCGATCTGCTAATTGGCATCGATAAAGTCGCGGTAAGGAAGATTCTCACGAAGAACGGCACCATCGAGATGTTCCCGCAGGACTCCGACGTGTGGTTCTACGCGGTTGACCCGGACACCGAAGCTATTTTGAATAGAAACAGCACTAAAGTACAAAGGTACGTTTTATGGAGAATGTGCGCATGTTAAAAAAAATAATAAAAAAAGAGATATTTTATACAGTTTTTTTGAAAATTAATCTCTAAAACTCCGTTCGGATTTGTATGTAAGAGGAAGATTACGTTGGAAATTTGAGTTTTTATTGTCACTTTTTAACTCTTTCGTTTTGGTATTATATACGCTCAAGCCACGTGATTGTCTCACATTTATTTATGGAACCGTATTACGTAATTACTGCTATCCGCAATGCTCACGTTGCAATGTGTTTTCACATGCTTTCGTAAATGGAATATTGCTGTTTTACTAGTTTAAAACTTCTCAGAATTGATAGTCACATAATAAGACATTGCTAAACAAAAATCTTTTATAATATTACTATAGTTAAATAAATTAAATATTTTGATAAAACTCTTTTTAATTCGACTGTTTTAACACGGTCTAAATAAATTGTTTTCTTGATTGCGATATTTTTAAATTATTTGTAAATACAATGTGTACTTATATATATACATATATATATATATTTATCAAATTATAACTCTCTCGCTAAGTTTTAGTGTTTTTAAATAGAATGGAAGCTTTATCGTAACTTAAATCAATATGAAACTAGATCGAGTCTGAAAACCTATCCGTATTTAATAATAAAAGACACGTCTTCCGCGCGTGCACCGAAAGGTCAATTACGACGTTTAATTGCATAACATTTGACCGTTAGCAAATATTAAAAGCGCCGAATTTTCGACAGGTCCATCATGGATAAATCGGCCATGTCAAACATTACCTTTGACGTATCCACGTTAGTGCGGGCAAATGCCATCGACATTCATGCACCCGTGATGCCGTCTGAGCCAGTGCGAACTCAAACGGCAGTTGCATTCAGTGGCGAAGTATTCCCGTACGCGCTGATCATCATCGCCTGCGTGATCCTGATCCTCGGCATTGCCGGTATCATATACATATGTGTTTCCTGGTCCAAGTAAGTATTTACATTCGTTTATGATTTTAATGCTGAGATAAAACTAAGATACAACGCGCCATAAAACGATTTTTATTATAAAATTCATTGAAATGATTAATTGATTAAAATAATAAAAAATTATATTAAGTTTCTATACCCAATACTTATTACGGATGAGAATATACTCATGCCTAATTAAATGTAATAAAGATAACGTTTTACGAAGATTTTTTAAAAACTTATCTTGCGTTGGATATGCAAACTCAAAGTAGTAGATATTTATATTGCACTTTTTGCATGTTATTTCAATAAAAATTTTTGTATTCATACACGCGAATTAAAATGGGGACCATCACATTATTCTTACGGTCTGCATTATTATGATCGCATAGTGTTGTTTCATGAGTGTGAATATTCACTTGACTCATTAAGTACGAGTCATGCAAATTCATACTGCTCTTCATTACCTTCATTAGCTTTTATTGCGTTTTCCGCTTTGGATACCTTTGCAAACACTTATTGCATCGACGTTGCGTGATAAAATAGTCTTTCCGGGAGTGCTTACTTTTGCAATGGAAAATTTAAAGTTCTCCGAGAGATTCTCATCGTAAAAATGCACTTTTTACGTAGGTATAAAGCATACAAGGAACGTATGCAGCGCATGTACGTGGTGCCGCGGTACGATCCCGTCTACGTAGAACCTAATTTAAAGGAATACGAGACGCAGGTGCTCCAGATGAGCGTGCCGGTCGACGACAATGACAGCTGCAACGATTTACAATTGGACTTCAGCAACAAGAATCACGCGTTTAGCTTGGACAACGTCAGTTACATCACCAAAGATCACGGAGACAGTACTGGTAATTCAAAATAAACATAATACGACTGTATAATGCAAGCTAAATTTATCAAAAAGATTTGTAGATGAAAATGACAGAATTTGAGATATTCTGCATTTGTATCTTCTTCTGCATCATTACTTGCAATTAATTAAAAAATATTAAAAGAAGTAAATGCAACTAAAGACATATTTATATTTTCTATAATTTGTTAACCGCATTAATCTTCCTTAAATCAAAATTATTTTATTTAGAAGATTATAGCGCAACGTGAATTCTTCTTGAATAGTATGTATCGTTTATATTGGATATACCGAAGTATATAGCGAATTATGTGCTCTGTTTTAAGGTCAACAAAGTCCCGTTAGCTCCGAAGCGGCGACCACGGCGCGAGCGTCCAGCATCGTCGGTAATCACGGCGACACCAACATCCATTCCCTGCGACGGTCCACGCTGGGTCGAAAGAATCATAGCGCGAGCAATACAAACACCCTGAACAATCGCGACGCGACACCGGTACTTAATCCCCTGTACAATCATGGCGATGATCTGCTGAGCCCTAGTCCGTCCAACGACAATGTCACCTTCAGGGAGAGGAAGGATTACTCGCATCTCGGGTTCACGTATCTGGGCGAGCAAAGCCCCGTGGAGACCACGACGGAATTGTAAGTTTCATGATCCGAGGGACGACGTGCGAATGTCCGGTCACTTTAAAGACTGTCACCGAATTATACATATCCGTGAAAAATGAAGGTTGAGATCCTATAAATCCTATAAATGATAACTTACAGCATCCCGTAACTTTTATTTTGATATCGTATACACGAATAACTGTGATGGACATTATTTCACATCAAAGTTCAATCGATATAGTAATTTAAATGTTGAAAAATTTCAAGTCCCATACGTAAAAATACTGTCGACGAATATTGTCTCGCATTCGCGACATATATACGTAAAATCAATGTTCACCTGCCCTTCGTCCGCGACAAGCGGTTAATCGTTTTGCATTTAATTTTGACAAATGCGTGAAACGTGACGGCGAATGGATTCGAGATATTCGACGCCACGTAGCTCGCATTTTTCTCCGATGTGTTAAGCAACCCTAAAGCGCCATACGAGGAGCATATGAAAGCTTATAAATATAGTTGAATGACTTCGTACCTATATGCTCTTCCTTTCATATGTCATCTTCTGAATGTGCACCGATGCCGATGCCTGCGTGCTGATTCAGCACGCGCAACGTAGCCGCAGAATTCCCGGCGGGGACACATTCTAAACGAGTTGCTCCGCATGTGATATTCATAAAAGAGCGGTGTCGCAGCGTTCAGACACAACGGCGGAACGAGGCCGTGAAAATATTGCGCGTAAAAGGAGACTGAAAAAAAAAAAGAGCGCGGATATCCTTTTAGAGCTAGCCGATATTCCGTGTGATTTACTTTCAATCGAACATCGCATTTTCGCGTTGAAGCCGATAGAGCATCGCCGACAAATTGCAAGATTACGAATAATCGCAACACGCCTCGAGAGTTAAACTACTGATTACTGTGACTGCATAGAGATACGAAAACATTGCCGTGCAATAATCTCGAGTCTTGATTAATAACTTCGGAGATGTTTTTCGTATTTCGCGGAGACTCTCGTCCGTGATGCGTTAATATACATTTTAATTATAGAGAGAGAGAGAAAGAGAGAGAAGGATGAAGCAAAAATACCACTGCGGCTCGAATCGTAGACTTAAGATTTGAAGACGAAGCTGTATTATTTGTTACATTGTACGAACGGCGTGTATTTGTGAATGTATGTCTCTACGCGAGTCTCGGCTCGCGCGACCTTGTAAATGATCGATCCCGATCGCGTTGTGTACTATAATATTTTCTTTATTTATACAATCGCAAGTTTGCTCATGTCATTACAATTGTAATCACAATTACTCGATACGATGACGATGGTGCATACTGTTTGTACGTGATCGTAGGGATATCGTGAAGTTTTATGGCAGCCAGCTGCGCTTCCACCGCGACTCGCTCGCCTTTTTGTTCACACGACCGCGCCGGCGGTAATTAAACGACTGCCATGCGGAGAACGCGTCATCGACACCCGTTACGATATAAGTGGCGGAGTGCGTACTTAATTAGGCACGTGTAATTGTCCATTTCCTCTACGTAATTTCGACCACGCTGTTCGACTTTGTGGATCGAGAGGTCGACAGATCCGCGGGAAGACGTTGAGGGGAGTTAAGTATGATACGACTTGATTGAATGTATATCTCTAGTCGTATAATAGCGGGCGTCCACTGCCGTGCAATTTGTAAGCTGCGTTTCATACTGACAATGAGAGAGAGCGAGAGAGAGAGCGTGTACGTGTTACAAGTGTTCTCTGATTATAGCGTTGATACCTTTACTTGTAGTTGTATAATATTTAAGCGCGAATTCTGTAAAAAATTGTTAATACTTAATAATAAATTTATTATATTTACATAATAACGCGGGGGTTTTTTTTATACAACGCCTCGCAAAATGTTCCTTTTCACACAAAGCAAACGAACTGCGCACCGCTGATTTATTATGTAAACGTTTCAATTCAAATTTATTCTCAACTTTCCATCTAAAATAGATGCAAGTTTTGCGTAATTCCCACGTAAGATATCTTTTGTACTTTAACACGCGTGAATTGTATCTTTAGGAGAGGGAACGTGTGCGAAATAGATTACGTTTTATCCTCGTAAAATTACGTAGCTCATTATATTGTGCTGATAATATCTCTTAACATTTTACACGTGTCGCTGACACGTGATACGCCCTTCGACGAAAGTCCATTTTAAAGTCACGTAACCCGCTCGAAAGGGAGCACAGGAGAGATTACCGCTTTTTAATTAGAATAGGTATATCATTTTAATTAGAGCGTGGGAAATTATATTTTGGGCTACGTACGATAAATTGCTCACTCACACTCGGTTTGGGGAGGTGAGAAACGTAATTGTGTCGGTGAAGCCCGTCGACGGGATCGTTCTGGGAAGCGGGTGGGTCGGCGGGTCTCTCCACCATGCCCGGCGATAGAGCGTCGGCGCCGCGACGGCAGGAGCCACGCAGACGCATCTGGACCGGCGTCGGTGACGTAGAAACGAGAAACGAGAGGAAAGAGCGAGATCCGGAGGCAGGCTCTCCGCCGTTTTGACAAGTAACGCGCTCACGGACTGTCCGCGACGGTGAGAGCGCGCTCGATCGCGATCGCAACGCGCGAGAGATCGCTCATTATTACGAGCGAGAGATAGGCAGCCACCCCGTCCACGCGCGTGTACGCGAGTAATTACCGGAGATATTTCATCGATCCTCCGACGTATTGACGAGTAACAGGCGGGTGCGTCGGGTCCTCCCGTTCCGCGCGACGGCGAACACAGCCACACAGCGCGAACACAAAGCAGCTCGAGAGCCGCGCAAATCTCGGAGCGTCCGAACGATCGAAGGAACGATGACGTATCGTCAAGGCATCGCAAACCACCTGTGAAGTGTGAACCGACTCGGAAACGTCAAGACCCAGGTATACAGTCTTTGAGGATTACGAAATGTGCATCCGCGTTACGTGATCCCTCGTGCAACTGCGTGTGCGACGCTGCTTGCAAAATGCACGACGAATTATAATTGTGTAATCGTGTTACAGTTACGTTGGTGAGAGAGATCGGAATATCAAAAGCGAAGTGATAGACATTGTAATCGAGAAGAGTGAGCTAACTCGTTCGTGACAGGTAAATGTTTGTATACAATGTTACACGCTACGTTAGAATTTTCCATAACGCTATTTCAATAAAAAAATAGGAGAAAAAATATTAACGTTATTTTATATTTTTTTGCTTCTGCTAATATTTAAATTTAAGAACCATAAAACAACTTTTTGAAATTTTATTCATCGTGTTATTTTGAAAGCTATCAAAAACAATTGCAAAAAACACTTCCTCTGTAGAGATAGTTTGTTGTGAATATTTTATTATATTTAATAAATAAATGAAAACAATGAAATTATTAAAATAGCATCAGATACAAAATTCTAAATTGTGTTTAATACGGAAAAAATTAAATAGTTAATAAATGGCGCTTATAAATTTTCTCTTTGAAAAAAATAGGAGAAAAAATATTAACGTTATTTTATATTTTTTCGCTTCTGCTAATATTTAAATTTAAGAACCATAAAACCACTTTTTGAAATTTTATCCATCGTGTTATTTTGAAAGCTATCAAAAATAATTGCAAAAAACACTTCCTCTGTAGAGAGCTTTTAAACATATAATGAAATTTTAAAATAGGAACAAATTAATCTACGAGATTTTTTTTCGTCACGTTCACCAAGATTGAAGAAGAAAAATGCTTTTGAATATTTTAAACGTTTTTAATAATGTCAAGGAAAATTATATTCAACGCTAACTGGCAAAAATCATTTATTTGTGTAACTCGCACAATTTTTTACACAAAGTTACACAAATAAATTGATTTTTGCTAGTTAGCACCGAATATAATTTTCCTTGTTATTTACTCACTGGCGAAGAAAAGTTCTCTTTTTGGTTTTTAAATGTTTTTATTAGGAAAGATATGTAGCTTCCCTAAATTAGAGTTAACATTTAAACGCAATTATTATCAATTTTTTAACGATCTATTTTGCATTGTCTAATCACTATATCAACGTTTGAAACGATAACAGTTGTAGAATAGACGTGATTGAAACATTGCACGTTATTAAAAATATTTAATTAAAGAAAAGTTTTAATACGGGTTTAATATTTCTATGACAAGTTCTATCACGTTCTATTACATATATTTGAGCTTACAACAGGTTGTTCTGTTATTTTGCAGATTGATGACTAATTGGAAGATCAGGGATAACAAACATGAAGTACTTGAAAGTCGCGTTGTTCTTGTTCAATCTATTAATATGGGTAAATAACACGCATGCATATTGTAACATTATAAATTAAGTTTAGAAATAGCGACACGTGCCACAAACACCTAGACGCAGATGCTCAAACTATAAATAATTCTCGCGTAATTCTGTAGAGAGAGAGAGAGATTCTTGAGAGCGCGAAACAAACGTTTTTCGTTTACTCTTGGATTGTCTCCTCTCGCCTGAGTTAGATTCTATCTGAGGAAGGTGGCGGAGAATTATTTCAAGCGTCGCTGAAATTTACGCGACGCGACGTTCAGGAAAGGAGTCCCCTGGGAGGATTACAGAATTACTATCTCGCCCGTCGCGATAAGGGAAAGAATAAGGGAACGTAAAAATCACCCCCGGCTTTTCTTTTCGGCAGTTGGCTGGCTGCGCGGTGTTCGTTCTAGGCACATGGGTGCTCCTGGAGCCCACCAAAGGACACATCCTCAATCTTTTCGTGTCTGATGTCAAGCCGCACGAGACTATTAATCTTATAGCTTACAGCCTCTTCGGGCTCGGCACCATCGTGCTCACGGTCGGCTTCTTCGGCTGCCGCGCCGCGCTACGCGGAAATCAATGCATCCTCGCCACCGTGAGTGAAACGACATTTTTATTACCTCCGCCCCGCGGGGCGCGCGTATATATACCATTATAGATTACGGGCCGGGTCAGGGTCAGGGAATGTTTTTATCGGTGGTCGTTTTCCCGCAGTACATGAGCATGCTGGTCGCGCTCATCGTCACGGAACTGGTGACCGCCGCGATCGGCGGGTTGATGACTTTCCAGATCCTGTCGGACCTGGAGGAGAGGCTCACCAATAAACTGGCGGCGCAGTACGGTCACGATATTCACGATCCGACCAGCGATATCCCTTTCAGCAACAGTCTGGACTTCGCGCAGTACAAGGTGTCGTATCAACCGAACCGATCGTTCGACCGACCGTCCATGCTCGTCGATCTTTTACGGCACGTTTTGTCATTCAAGAACCGCTTTTTTTTTTAATTACGCATTCTTCTGCGATATATTCTTGATTTTTCTATATTGTAACTTTTGGTTAATTCATTTTGCGTATACAATTTTTATTAATTTTTATGAGTTTTGTGACAGTGATGATGTCAAGCTCTGGATATATTTTTTTCCCCAGAAAAATCACACGTCGTAATCGCATCTGTGCACGACGCTTTACCGCGATGACAATACACTTTTTCTTTATTTAAAAATATTACGTTTAAAAATGTTTCGTCTCATTTTTCCCGCAGCATGTATTATACCGCGGAAGCGCGCATGTAAATTATATGTTTCATGCATGATGGGTTCGCATGCGAGAGAATAGAGATGATGCTTTGTCAGAAATCGTCTGCCCGATGAGACATTTTCGCGATGGTTCGAAGAGCCACATAGATGATTCCATTGCAGTTTAATTGCTGCGGAGTACACGGCGATCACGATTACAATGGCACGGCTTGGTGGAGGGACGGTCAAATCTCGGGGAGCAAGAGGCAGGTTCCCCTTACCTGTTGTGTTCTCAAAAATAGCGAGGTACTCTATACGTTTGAATTAATTGGTCCTAAAACAACGTGGATATCGAAGTTTCGAGAGTTGAAAGAGCTCACAAAATATATTTTGAAAGCACAATAATAAAAAAAGACACAATAATAACCCAGATAGCAGAGTGGCGTCAAATGACGTTATAATGCCGTCAAAGTGACGTCTCTAACAACAACAATTCGTCACTTTGACTGCACTATTACGCCACTTGACGCCACTCTGCTATCTGGGAAAATATAAGTCCACGTACATTATCATTATTGTCTGGATGTCTCTTTTGAAAATAATATAAATTGTGAATTATATATGTACACATATATCTCGATATCTTTATTATTTCCTAAATAATTTTATTTTTATTTGTTTATCTTATTTTAAACTGTGTTCATTATCTTAAACGTCTAGTCAATAAACTACGACTCACGATTTATTAGTAAAAGCGAGAGCTTCTGTCTTGCAGAATAAAAATACAGGCAGCCCGATGAGCGTTGTTTCGAGGGTGTTCCACAAAAATGTGAGTAAAATGTCAGCGACGTAGCGAAATGTATGAACCTTATGTGAGTAATCTTTTATCGCTGGCAGAACGAGAAGCCGTGGCTGCATCCGCTGCCAAAGGATGAGGCCGCGTGTCAAGTAGAAGATGAAGAAGGTCACGAGGGATATAGGCACAAAGAGGTACGCATTGTACCGCGAGGTATTGTGTATATCGCTGCGTGTTATACATTGCTACATAATTCAAATGAACGACACATTTTCTCAGGGGTGCCTTGGAAAAGTCACGAACTGGCTGCAGTGCGAGAGCTTCATGTTAGTGTTTGGCGGCATGGCAATGGCAGGAATACAGGTAAATTCTTTTATTACACAGAAAAGAAAAGAAGTGTTAAATCAAGACTTATATTTTTGTATATAAGCAAGAATCTATAATCTTTTTATACGAATTTCAACTTTTTTTCTTGATTAAACTATATAAATACCTTCATTCGAACAAGTTTTCTTCGTTTAACGCAATTTATGTCTCATTTTAAGATTATAGATTTATAGATTAAGATTATACATTTATATACGAGAACGTAAATCTTGATTTAACACTTCTTTTTTTTCTGTGTATTTTTCGCAAACTTTTAGAAGAAACTTTTAGAAGAAACATATTTATTGAGTCAAAGAATCATGATTTTATTTAAGAAAGTGCTTTTTTGATCTTTAAATTTTACAAAATGTCTTTGCAAGGATTGTATTGCATAGCTCAAGGTACAATTCTTATTTAAATTTTCTATCTTTTGAATTTTCTATCTTTCTTCGAAGAATAGATTTATTAAATTATTTTCTTAAATAGCTTTTTCCTTTATGTCTTGTGTATTTTGTGAAAAAGAAATAATTAATACAAATGCATTTTTCAGACGTTCGGGATAATAACGTCCGCTTTCCTCTGCCGGACAATAAGAGATATGCAGGAAGAATGATCCAGGATTCGTAGTCTCAATGAAGTAAAGAGAATGTCGTGGCACGTTCAATCTTTACATTGACAACTTTGGCAGAAGAACCATATTCATTTTGTATCTTCGTGTATCGCTACGTGAGAAGATTTCCGAAATTTGTTTCGATTATCTGTGAGTCGGGACAATGATCGGGATTTTCAGCAAAGGGAATACCGCGGGGAAGAAAGCAATCTAAATATTTGTTCTATTCTACAAGGTGTCTGTTCATTGAGAACTTCGAGAATAACTGAACTTCGAAATAACAATAAGTGCTACGCTTAAGTTTAGATCGATTTCCACCTCTGTGCGCGTTTTGCTGCCAATCAGCAATAATGTGACCAATACACCCTGCTGTACATATACAATAACATACACGTCTGTGTCGTGTTCAATCTAACAGTCTAACTAATACTAAGAAATAGCGATGTTACAATAATATCGCTGGTGTCTCACGACGATCATCGCCGGAGCTTGGATAGCAACGTGGAATTGTTATCCGTGGCGTGTCCTGTTGTCTTCTAAATACAAGAAGGATGGATATATGCGTTGCGTGCGTGAGAACTTTCGAATTATTTTCTTCTTTGTGGACAATTTACCTGATTTAAGAAACAAAATCATTTTTCGCACAAAGTACATGTGTTTGTACATGAATTTTTAAAGAAATATCATAATTTTTAATGAATAAGAGGTTTATGTGAGTATACTTAGGGGAGACTGAGGCTGATTGATATATTCTATTATATGTATATATATATAAAAAAAAACAGACTGCTAAACAAAGTTAGTAGTCTAGTAAAGAAATACGTTAAAATCATATAACGTTGATCCACTTTGACTGACATGAGTTTTCAAAGTATGTTTAACTAGCCTAGATTCTTAGTTATAACCGAACTAAACGGATTAAAAAGTTTCATTTACTCAGTAACGTATTATTAAATTTTTACTTATATATTTCTACTTTATAGCCTAATAATATATGTTCAAGATAGTAAAATAATCTCTGTGTTTCGAAAACTTAAGAATATATTACAGGTTTTAATCAATCCCAGCTTCTCCTAATAATTGTGTACATTAGATCTTTATAGACATTTATCATCCATTTTGAAATGGGTGATGCACATATTCAATATTCTATATATATATAATATATATATATATATATATATATATATATAGTGTATAAAAATGTGTTATATATATTCTTTAAGGGGGAACGCTTTCCTCTCTCTGATAATAATTTTCGAAGAATGTATTATTATAACTTGTGCCAAAAGAATTTCGTACAATGACACAATCAGTAACACAAATTTTAATATATTTTTATTTTCTCAAAACACTTGGCAAAACGAATGTCCTGCGTTTATAGAACGCACCCTAATGATAATAAAGATGTTGTTCTCTGTGTAAAAAATTGTTACTTATTTTATGTTTTACATAAATTTACATTTTGCACACTAAAGTTCTTCATGTTTAAAATTACCCATTTACAGAATAAATAGCTGCATTGTTATGAGCAGTTATAATTCTTAATTTCAATTCTTAACTTTAATTTGATAAATTTCATATTCGGTTAAATAGAACAATATTACCATATTGAATATGGCATTAATTTGACATACATGGCATAAATATATACTGAAATTAACATATAAATAAGAAGATAAGTTTTCTATATATATGTTTGATTACTTAAACATTTTGATAAAGTAATTACATATCAATTATGCAACAAGCTTTCTTCATAAAAGTAAACATCACGGTCGTTCAACGGTTGAACTGGTCGACAATTCAAGAGTAATGGGCCTTCTACTGAACAGATTTTTCGAAATTTCTCCATCTGTAGCAGAAAATTATATTAATAACAACAAAGCCGACAAATATTTTAGTGAAGTATGATTTTACCTGAGATGAGGATATAGCAATTGGTTCTTGCTGCACGATCCATGTAACAATTTCACTGCAAGGTGGCTGACTAAGAGAACCGCTGTACGTATAATAATCTCTGTCAAAAGGCGCGAAAATCCACTCCAACGGAAAAGGAGGTATGTAAACTTTAGATCCCGGACAGGCAATGCGCCATAAATTGCTCACGATGTGATCCAAATACGGATTATCCGCGTCATTTATCTGCATCGTTGAACATATCGTAATAAGCGAAGATGATTATGACGATTCAAGTTTAACAAGTTTTACATTTTGCCGATGCATTAATTTAATTTTATAATACTCGTGATAAAACATTTATATTATCCGCTAACGAAATAATTATACTTGAAGGAAGAACGAAGCGATCACTATTCCATCTTTTGCTCCAAGCGCAATTGCGTCCGTTGGCGATTTAATTCCACGTTTAATGTGAATGATCTGTAGTTCCATAGGAAAACGAACGTAGTCCAAGGTGTGTTCACTGCCCTCTTCATTTGACGGGCCCCAATGGAAGAGAACGTTAAAGAAATCGTATGTATCGGTCAATGGCCCTCCTTGAAGCTGTGGCCATGTGGCGCTGGTCCAGAATCCTCGGAGTATCACTACATGTTAACGTAAAACATTGTGTAGTACAGTATATAACTTTAATTAGTTTAATTAGTCTATTTTATTTTTTATGCCATTATTATTCTGCTAGAAAATTTACGTTTTATTTTATGCCATTATTATTCTAGTAATATTAAAATATATTATTAATATATTTTTCAATTTGTTTGCTTATAGAAAATTGATGTTTACCAGTATGGCCATCATTTGCGATAGTCATCGACAGAGGTCCACTATTGTAATTGCTCCATCGAAGTGGTTCAGATGGTTGCACAACTACGGCGAGCCTAGTGGTGATATTAATAGGCGATTGGTTGCTACCAGTGCTCTCAGGATATAAATCTTTCCAAGTATGAGGACCATTCTGATGAGCATAGCCGAATGAAAAAGCTGGTGGGCGGTAGTCGTTTTCCATCCATGAAAATAATTGCGTCCAATCCAAAATTTCAGTTAATAATAGCACTAGGAAAGAAATTTTATTGTAAAAAATGATATTAATAAATATAAAGCTGTAGGCTATTATTATTTTATAATTAAATCGGCGCTTTTTGTCTCTCTATAAGATACGCACCCATGAGCAGAACGCTGCTACACGCGACCATACATTCCGCTAACGAGAAATCTAACATTTTTATAATGAAGCTTTACTCGACATTTGTAGTTTAAAAAAAAAGTTCAGGTTTGTTAAGACCTGCGTGCAATATTTCCGACGTAATAAATTTTTAGGCGAGCAGTATATACTTGACAATTTGCCCAGTGTTTCATACCGCATAATAATTTCTATCAAAAATATTTATGAAAGTATAAGAAATAAAATGTGTGGAACGTCAAATGATAAGTTTTACTAAAAATTGATATGAAGTTTACTTCAATTTATAAAAATAGTGTGAAGGTAATCCTATATATAATCCGTAAGCAACTTCTTTGACAATTACTTACAACTTGTTTTCAGTAATGTCATCAAGATGACTGCAATATCAATACGTGGAAACTAATACATTTTAAAAGCGATGGAAACTTAATTTTAGATTTACTTTCCGTTCAATAACTCTATATCGTGATGTACAAATGACATCCAAATCTAAAAGCGTACAATCACGTAAATAAAAATTTTAACTTTAATCATACTTTTTAGATAAAACATTTGTTACAGATAATTGTTTAATCTATTTAAAAATACTCTTATATTACATTTATTTCATACATTTTATATGTTAAATGTATATTCTACACAAGAACAAAAATTATGCACGACATCGTCTTCGGGTCTGCTGAAATGGCGGCAATCTCCAATCGACATCAGTCGTGTCGCCGTGTGGAATAAGAAATTTCCCCCCTTACTTTTGACAAATTATTGGTCAAACGATGGCACAGCAATACTTACGAACACCGGCAAATCAGGTTCTTTTCACGTCCAGTATAAATTCGGAATAACGGATTATGTATTTAATAATTTCTAGTTTAATAATTTCTAGTTAACATCGAGTTGGCGAACAGAAAATTGCCAATATTGCGCGGCGGTCCTTTGAAAAACGATGAATTTCAATTTATGAACGTACAATTTCGATGGGGTCCGTCCAACTGTCGGGGCGCAGAACATTCCATTGATAATATTTGGTTAGAGAGAATATAACATTTGCTTAGACGAATTTGATATTGAAAATTACCATGCGTGCATGACAAATGTATCAATCACGATATTTTCTATTTAATTTCAATTTCCATTACATTTATATTTAATTTAAATACGAGTTTCATTTGACATAATTAATACTGACCAATGCAACTTCTAAATGACAGTACTTAATAAGGTATTCGATGGAGGCACAAGTTATGCATTGGAATACGCGTTACGGATCGATAGACAAATGTCACGACAAATCTGACGGAATTGCAATAATATCCTATCTCATGCAGGTTTAACGGCCAAAATTAATTAAAATTTGCCATATCGGAATCTTTTTATTTTCACACGATAGACAGTATCATTTTCGAAGATAATTATTTCGCATTGGATCACTGTTGCAGTTTAATTATTAATGTATAATTGTGATAAAAAGGTTGTTGGCTGTCCTGGGATTCCAGATAATCCCGCGCTTGCTCCAATAACTGATAAACTTCCGGAAATAAAGCAGATGGATAGCGCAGTAAATATTACGCCGGGTAATGTGAGATGCGGTCTTTAATAATATTTATCGAATTAATTATTTACAGAATAAGTCGATCATAATTGTCGGTGCGATGTCTCCTTTTTTCTTTTATTGCAATTATTTGCAATTAACAGTAAAAGCAATTTTACAAAAAATTATATATTTTTATTTATAGAATATTTTCGCTTATAAGTAAATTTTTCGCTTTTCATGAAAGTTGTTATTATATAAAATATTATTTGCAATATTAATATTTTTTAATTAACCATGTGGTTATTTTACTTTTAGATTGCTTACGTTGGATGATGCACGCATGCACGTCACCTGGATATTATACTTATTTAGGTTCTCTCACTTTTCCCCCGTATAATGAATGCGTTACTTGGATAATCGTGCCGAACGCGATAAAAATATCTTCCTGTCAGGTATATTAAAAGCATGTATGCAGATATTATTTATTTTTTTTAAATTATACACCCGTAAATATTGACGTATGATAATTTACATTACATATCATTATAGATCGAAGCATTCAGAAGCCTTTACAATCATAAATGGGAACGTATAGTAAGGAATTATAGATCGCAACATCTTCTTCGTGGAAGAAGGATTTTCTTTGCCAAAGAAAAATGATACAGTAGCTTGATTGATCGGAAAAGGATATATTATATTTTCGATTCTGAAATTATATTTACCGAAGAAAGTATTGCGACATTACCGGATCTAGAGAGCAAGCAAACATGAACAATACGAACAAATACTTTCGATGGAGCATGTTATTTGCGCTCGCTTGGTTGCTCTAGATCAGGCTTTATATATGTTAAATAGAATTTCCTTGTTGTATATTCTTATTTTACCATAAAATGTCAATTAAAATATGGATAAAAAATTAACTTTTTTAGTAACATTTCTATAATACAATATATATTCTGTAATATGATATGTATTTATATGTATTTATTTTTTTTGTGGCGATATAAAATGTAGCTACATAGCTAACTTCAAAGATTATTAACTTATTGGGTTTAGTTAAATTAAAATGTAATATGACATATAATTTAAAAATACATTTACAATTTGTGCAACATTTTTGAATTACTTATTATTCAGATGTTTTCTGATGCATCTGCGATAAATAATTCTTAATTAGCGCAATAATGGCAAATTATGTAACCCTTGCAGGTGAATAAAATAAAATATTGAAGATAGTGGCAACAATATCAGGTTATGTGTGTTTGATGTTATAATTTTTACATTATATATTTATGTGTAAATATATTTTTAAGATACACAAAAAAGTGGTCAAGCACCGATCGATTTAAATGACAAAATGGTACGTCCTACGAGATTTCCACCGTTAATCTTAAACGGCCATTGGTTAAAGGATGGAAACGCAACTTTGTTTAACGATGGCAAAAAAGGTAATTTGATTTATTTTTAATTTTACTGAAATAATTATTTGTTTAATATTGTTGGGACGCGATTGGACATTAAATTCTTTTGTGTCAGCAATTATTTTTTTGAATGGCGATAGGATCCCATCAACAGTATCTGGAGGTCCGCTCGTAAATGACGAATACGAATTTTACAATGCGCACTTTCACTGGGGTGAGAATGATTGTAGAGGTGCTGAACATACGATCAATGGTACTTGGTAAGAATGTATTCTCAATAGCTATTTTTAAAATAAAAAAATTGTATATCTAAATTTTATCCTATTCGAGTTGTTTCAGTAACTTTTACAAAATTTTAATAAACTTTACATTTAAATTAATGTAGGTTTTCGATGGAGTGTCACTTAGTGCACTGGAACCAAAAATATCTCACCTTCGAAGAATGTTTAAAACATCGAGATGGTCTTTGCGTATTAGCTTATTTATTCTTGGTATATTTATTTATATATGATTTTATATTCTAATTTTTCATCTATTATTAACAATTTTGTTTCGTAGGTTCAATCGGGATCTTGTGACTGGAGCAATGTTCAATTTGAAAAAATATCTGAAAATGTAAAACATATTCAGAATGCTGGATCGGAGATAAAAATTCCAGCAAGTTAGTATCCGAAGAACAGAATGTAGTCTGTATTATATGATGTTTCAAATTTGATAATATTTTTGTGACGTTTAGATTCTTTATCTTGGATGCGAGTAGCAACTGATTGTTCAAGTTACTATACATATCACGGATCCTACAATGCAGAGAGTAATTCAGAATGCGTTACGTGGATCGTGTTCCCAGCCATTATTCCTATACAATCTTGCCAAGTTAGTTATTTATAATTTAATTTAAGTTATTTATGTCAAATATATATGAACAGCAACACAAATATTTCTTTAAAATGTTTATAGTAATTATTTTCTTGTATATTTATCACTATTACAATTAATATTTGTTATTTATAGAATTATTAGAAAAAGTGTAAGAATAACACGCATACATACGCAATTAATAAAACTTCTAGCTTAATGAGTTCCGAAAACTAAAGGATAAAAATGGCGAATTCATAAAATCGAATTGGAGAGACGTTCAACCTTTACGAGGACGACAAATATTTTTAGCTGTCTCTTAAGAAAAATTTACATTCTAACTTAATAAACAATATACTAAAGATTTAAAAAATTTCTAATTTTTGACACTTCAACAGAAATTATGTAATATAAGCTTTAAATTTTCGTAACACATATAAAGTAGAATAATTTCTTATACATATAATTAATTATATGTTAAATATATAGATATACAATACATTTTATATGAATTATTCACTAAAAATTTGAAAATTTATTATCTGTTACTGCTTAAGAATAAATGTAATTACTGCTGCATTTTGAGCTTTAATTCATTAAGTTTATGAAAAGAATCGATACTGGAGCATACTCGTTCTATTGTTTCCTCTAGAGCTTTATATATGCGAATAAAAAATATTTCTCTATAAGGTTGCAAATTTAAGTTAAAATTTTCCTTCTTTTCCTGCGTCAATTTCTGCTCTACTTCCATTGGCGTTGTAGGCTCTTCTCGTATCAGACCGTTCCTCTTCACGAGTTCACTTTCATTTTCAAACAGATTCGCGAAAGCACATAAAATATTATACACAGCGTCATATTTATCGTAATGTGCGACATCAAATTCGATCGATCTTGGCCTGAGACTCTGTTTGCAAAGTTTGTTAAACCGGGCGAGCATATCGCGTTTGTAATTTGTATTTTCTATCTGCAAAAGAATGTCTCGCAGAGTATCCAGCGACAAGTTCCAAGCTGGCGCGCTTTCATCGGTAATAACGTCAGAATATATTGTTTGTAATTGCATTACGATACTCGGATGATAATGATAAGAAGGATTTAGGGAAACAAACAGGTCGCTTTGCGAAAGCGATATTTCACAAGTCGGCTCCGGTGGCTTATGGTGCTCCACCCCAGCCATGATTTCCTCAATGATCGAGTTTATCGTCGAGTCTCGAATACGGCGATTCAGGTATTCGTCGATCATTTGGCAATCGGTCAATTTTTCACTTTGAACATCGGTTGTGCATCCCCAGAACCGAAATACGAACGTGGAGGAACTTAATTTCGGCTCCGTGACGAATCGCCAAAACTCGGTGAAGACTCCGCGTATCCTGGATCGATACCACACCTTGATTTTCACGATCTGCCCCGGAAGTACGAGTCCCTTCGTCTTGTTGAAGAAGAACGGACTGCCGCGTTTCACGAAAGATATGCCGTACGTCCGGAAGGGCGAGTATCGCCAATGATACGCGATAACGTGAGTTCCTTTATTTTCGAGCACGATCTCTCTTTCCGTTTGTTCATTGATCTTACCTACGAAAGTTAAAGACCACATGATAGGTTCAGTGTCTACCGGCTCCGTTCTTCCGAAGGAAGATTTCTGCCAGACGAATTCTCGATCTTGGATCTTCAGAACTGCTACTTGATCGGCATTCTCGCGCGGCTCGTCCTCGTCAGGTTCCGTGATGGTTATCGGTGGAATTCGTAATAGCGGTAATTTCTTTTTCTTATAGGCACGTCCTTGAATGGCCAACGCTGCCGTTTCCGGCTCCTTAGGCAGCAGCGATGCAATTTCCTCGGCAAGTTCGAGTTTACGAGTTTTTAGATATCCGCTGCGCTTCCAGAATTCTTCCTTGGTTTTTTGGACGACGAGATCTCGCTCCTTCGCTATTAGATCTGGCACTCCAACGTGCATTAAATCCGGACGAAGATTCAGGTCTTTCCTGCTAGGAGTCAAGGATATTTCCGGCAGGCAAGCATCACCGCGATTCGGCAGGAATTCGGGCGTTCTCCAAAATGCCGGTCCGTCGTGAGGCTTATCGGTGATCACGGATGCCGGTATGGCAGCGTGCTCCATTAGGTTTTTCATCTCTACGAAGCTGCGAAACCTTTCTGAGGAATTCTGTAACTGATCGGCCTGCGAACGACCAGTAACAGATTCGATGTGATGAGTTTGCTTTTTCCGATCGGCAAGCCATTTCTTCCAATTTATGAAGCGACGATCTTCCGAAAAAGATACATCTCCGGAAAGAAGGTTATCCCTGGTCGTTACAAGTGGATGGCGAGTCTTTTCCCAGATTTGAGGCTTTTCAGATTTACCAATTTTGCGCGCAAAGTCCATTTTCGAGAGGAACTAATAAATTATTTCACATATCTTGTCTGGAAATATCCAATGTTTTATCTTCTTGAATGGGAATCTATGATAAATTTAATAAGCTTTAGATCTGCGTTTACGTTATTTTCAACTACAGTCGTCATGCTTTCATCTTTTCCACTATTAAAGAAGATTTGTAAATACAACACTTACATCTAAATATTTTCTTTTCTCGCTATAACGCTTAATTAAAGTAATACTTAATTATCTAGATGTAGTATGTCATACGTTACTTCGTATCATGAGTAATTTCCATTGTATATTTTGACAGTTTACGTTCAATGGGTTAATAGTGTAAAGTTTTTCTTAACAGTTGTTTATCCACAAGTTTTAAATTAAATTTCTTTTAATATTCGAATTTTTGAATTTCATTTAAATTAAAAAGTTTAATATAAAAAGGTTTGTTTTAAATTTTAATTAAAAAAAAATGTTTGTAATAGGTGAGTAGGGAAGTGTGTGTGGTGTGTGTGTATGTGTGTCATGTGCGCGCGCATATCCGCAAAATATTTCAATTGAAGTTTGAGCGAAGCAAAATCGATCAAACGTTATGTTTGACGCATTTACACACGGAGATTAGAGAACTAAATCTCTAATCCCTAATTAGAGACCTAATCTCTAATCTCCGTGGATTTACATTTAAATTTATCAGTAATGTATACTATGTAATATAACATATCAGCATGATGTCTTCGACAGGTGCGGTATATACATATACAATTTAAACTTATCTATATTTTTTATATGATTAAAATACTTTTATTACCTATTAAATATTTTTTTTCTCGTGATTATATCATATATATAGATTCTGACGAGCACGATGAAGAAACAGTTAGATTTATACAACAATTAGCTCATACCGATGGCAAATTAAGATCACCAATCGATTTGAACATCAGCTATATGAAAGTCGTGAATCTAAATCCTATACAGTGGTTCAATTATAATGTCACGCCAAAAAAATTAAAACTCACCAACACTGGGTACACTGGTAAAAAATGAGAGCAACGTGCAATCTAAATGTTTGCTTTTAGTAGATTGCGTTTTTTGATAGTGTGCAATTACGTTTATTATTTATAGCTATGCTTAGTGCAACATGGCGTGAAGAAGAGCCGTATTTGTATGGCGGTCCTTTCGTCGACAGTTATATCTTTTCGCAGCTTCATTTCCATTGGGGTAAGACTGATATGGACGGTAGCGACCATTATGTCGACGGTGGAAGGTTTTATTTTTATTGTCTATATCTATAAATTCAATTTACGTGACTTTTTAATTTAAATGCATTTGCCCACAAAGCATGCCAATGGAACTGCACGCGGTACATTATAAGAGTGATTATGGAACTCAATTCACGGCTCTTCGACATCACGACGGTATCACTATATTGGTATACTTATTCCAGGTATTAAAAATATGTATCTCTTTTATTTCAAATAAATTCTATTACATAACGTGGTTCTTGTTAGATTGTTTTTCACACAATATATGTATTTTAATACGTTTTCAAATATGTGATTTTAAAATTCGAATAGAAAATTTATCTTTAGATGTTAAATAAATAATAGATATATTTTTTAAAAATAATATTTTTATATTGCTCAGCTGCAGGCAGCTCCTAATCCGGTTCTGGATGATATCATAAATACGTTACCCTTTATCCAAGCAGCTCAGTCTTCCATTCGTTTAATACCTTTCTCTATAACAAATATTGTGCGATGCTTTCAACGTGATTACTTCGTTTATTGGGGTTCTTTAACCATGACAAATATCAGAAATAGTGTACTTTGGTTAATAAGCAGAGAACCGTTAGGAATATCCATTGATCAAGTAAGTGTTCCCTATTGGTAAAGATATCAATAAGCGGCCTAAACGAAGATTAAATAAAATAAGATTATCATAAAATTAAATTATATATATATATATTTTTTTTATAGTAAATTTGATTATATTTTTTAAGATTGCGGAGTTTCGCACGCTATGCGATAAACGCAAAATGCCGATTTTGACAAATCGTCAGCCGTTGCAGGATAGAGGTAATAGAAACGTTTTCCACGTATGTCCTAGCGGATCCAGATATGCTACGCTTCTGCCAATTTCACGTAATATCAATGATAAATATATTCGTAAAGATAATGTCGATAGCAGTGATAAACAATAATGCGCTGATTACATTACACATAAAAATATACTATTTATAAATTAACTATTGCAATTATATTATTTATGGATACGAATTGCGTCTAAAATTTCTCCAAGTACCGTTGTTTAATTCATCTTACTCAAAACGTTTTTAGAGCCTTGTAAAGTATTTCCGTTTATTTCCGTTTTCTGCTGCGCCTCTTAATCCTTTCCCTCTCGAGATCGCACTTCGGATAGAAAGAGGCGCAGTCGACTCCACCCAAGCCTAGAATAGATGCCTTCACAGAATCCAACATTGCCGACCATGGAGTCCTGTATAGCATTCTGCCCGACAACCAACTCATGCCCAAGCTGAAAAAGAGGGTGGTGATGTTATCGGTTGTTTCGGGATATAACTTTTCAAATATCGTCGACCATTGATATTGCGTCGACTGATTCACAAGATGTGATAATAAGTTTTTATATCTCATTTTTTATGTGTAAGATTCATATAATTATTGTCACGCAATCTATTACCTCCAAACGGGAATCAAAATTCTGCGATCGTCTTTAGTCTCCTTGGAATATTGATTATCCTCACATAGTATCCTGCGCAGACAATCGCCGGAGTCCGCTTCGGCGACCATAGCTGCTTCGATGGACCGCAAAACGCGATAGGACAGCTCGTTTAAGTCCTTGTTGCTAATGACAGACGAGGAGAGCGAAATCGTGTGTCTCTTCATTCGTCTACTGCCATTGGTATTGTCCTAAAATGTAAAACATTTTCAAACTTTTCCATCGAAGTACGTAATGGAAAGTTACATGTGCGACTCCTCTTTTGGTGAATTAAATATCCTTATTAAAAAATACTTATATATATATATATATATATATATATATATATATATATATAAGTATTTTTAATTAATTAATTTTAATTAATATATATTTTAATTAATTAATATTATACATATAATGTTAAAAAGATACTAGAAAATGATAGGACTACTTTATCTTGTAAACAAGTTTCTTTTTAATACCGTGGCATTCATACAAAGTTGAATAACGAACAGTCCGAATGCTAAAAATGCAAGTGCGGTGAGTGCGATCTCGAAGAAATCCTTAATCGACAGTTCATGTCCCTTTCCCTTGGAATAGGAGGGTTTATGTTCTTCCTCTTCATGATGCTCATGATGCTCATGATGCTCATGATGATGCTGCGGATAATAGTACTCCTCGTGGATGGATGGAAAGAAGTCACTGTGATGTCCAATGTGACCGCTGTGGTGATGGCTAAACGAAGGTCCGTAATGGTAGGCATGATGCCCTGTCGACGATAACATCATGTCATCTATTCAATGGATTATGTAAATATCATGTCTCGCCAAGTTTTTCATATGCAGCGCGCTATGTTCTGCAATAGCTTCTGATGCAATTCTACCTTCATGGGATGGTTCATAGACGCCCACTTTTCCATTCGATGGCAGAGGAGCTTGCATCGCGAATCCCGTCACCTCACCATCGAACTCCTCGATGTCGTCGTCGTGCTGCTGGACATCTTGTTTCTTTTTCATTTTTTTGCGGGGGGCATAGTGGCGATACACATCGTTCAGTGTCGTTGTTCTATTGTAGATATGTTAGAAATGAAAGAACTTTGTTATTGATATTTTGTGGAATACTGTAAAACATCGCAGTAAAATTAGAAAGATTTCAAATTAGAACGTATCTGTTATTCAGTAAAAATTTAATTAAACTTGATTTTTAAAAAATATTTTATGTTTAACATTGAAAATATCTAATAATTTGTTGAATAAAAATAAATATGTTGAGTTAATAAAAAATGTTATAGTAGAAGAATTAGCTTTTTTATCTCAAATGTATATAGTATAAATTTGTCATTTGTAGTATGTATAAGAGTTATCAAAGTTACAAGTAAATATCATTAATTATACAAATATTTGAATTATAAAATTTAGAAGCTCATGTTTCTTTATATAACTTTAATTCTATATGCTTACCGATGCAGCCAGTTTTTATATTTAGAGCTTCCTTCATCAGCCAAAAGTTTATCGTGTATTGTAACATTGTCGTCGCTTAAGGAGTTGTGATTCAAATTGTCGGTTGACAAAGATTCCGGATTTCGCTTCAGTCTAGGCGTGCTCACTTCCTTGAAGATTTCTTCTGCCATGTAGCCATGACAAAGATACTCATTCATTCTTTGCCTGATTTCATATATGAATTAATTTAACATTAATGTTGTAAACACACCTAGATTTTCAGTTTGTTGACTCTCAAATCGGATCGTACGTTAACATTTACCTATGAAATTCCATCTCGTTTAACGCGCTGACAAAAGATCCATCCACAGTTTCATTTGCCACTGTCTTAGCAACACTATTTTCATATTTATCGTCAAATAAAAACGATCCAGGTAAAAGATCCGCGGAAAGTATGTCGTTTTGATTGATGCAAAACTCGTTGCCATCGTCGAAGCATTCTTGCGCCGATATTGTACAAATTACGAAAAAGATTTCGAAGAGATATATTATTTTGTAAGTTCGTAATGAGGATTTTTCACCACATTCCGACAAATTTTCTAGTGCCATTCCAATTGTGCCACGGGAGTTGTCACTGAAGACGCGGAGATGACTGTGACTGAAGACAAGGCGACACGCTCTTGTAATAATTCGCTTGTCTGCTAGAAATAATTGCTTTAACTGTAACATTTCCTGGACTGCGTCACAACAGTTTTATTTTGTAGTTTCAAGTACAAGAAAAAAAATTTTGGATGCATCTATAATTGTAAGTACAATTATTAATAATTTTTTAAAGTAACAATGTTTGACAATTAACAAGAATAAAAAGAGAAAAAGAGAGTTTAATAATAATAAATAACTAAATTATATATAAGTAACTAAATTATAAATGTGGAAAGATTTAATACAATAATAATACATTTGAATCTGTTACAAGATTATGCATCAGATAATGTTATATACAAGTAGACATTATCTTTAAATTATATAATTTACGTGAAGAGGAGTATTCACTGAATTTTACAATCAGAAAAATTGTATTATCTAATTTATTATGTAAGTTAATTTTTTTAAATTTAAATTGTTATCAGAATAAAAAACCAAGAAACTGTAAAATAAATGCTGTCATGCCGATATCAAAGTCGAGAGACAAAATACCCGCATACCTGTCAAAAGCGGGTTGTGCATCTGTTTAGATTCATGACTAATCCCTCCCGATTGGTGACAGCGCCCTCCCGATTTAATCCGTAATCCGACACTCATGATTAAATACGTTTATTAAAAACCACTTACAACGCTCTTATGAATGTTTCAAGAGCGGAGGGTCTGTCGGGAACGTCCGCCCGGGTCGAGGTGGTAAGACAGGGTAATGGGGCCTTTGTTCCCCTGGGAACGCGCTCACCTGTCTAATATCTCGCGAGAGTGGCTATATCTGTACACACACCAAAAGCGGCCAGTTATACGCCGAGCTTACTGAAAATTAATCGCGCAGTTTCGAAAGAATCCTCGCGTCTCTCGCGTCCCGTCCTACCGACTGAAATAAACGTTTCTCACGCGATTATTAATGGTGTCGTAGTCGCAGAACTACCGGTATATCAGACAAAGATATACGAAAAATTATATCCAACTTATCTTTTGATTATTTGTTGTTTTGTTAAAATTAAAATATATAATAGTTAACGTTTTCCTCAATTATAATTAACAGTATGTAGAAGAAGAAACGAGAAAGAGTTTAACGAATAGATTGGGATATCGAGATATTTATAATATCCTTCCTTTTAAGTTTAATATTTTTGAGGTACACGATGCATGTTACGATATATTTTCAACGAGACACAGAGGATGCGGCTCTTAATTGCTTACAGTCGAGGTGTTCGCACTTCCCCTTTTTGCGTGAACGCGACCTGCGGTGCGGTTTGTGCACGCGTGAGCTCACCCTCCTTTTCTCAGGTGTTTGATTGATCGTTTCAATTACGTGGCGCAGCGTGCATCAAACGTGAGAGTAAACTTCGCAGCGAGCAAATGGATCGTTTATTCGAAACATTTACGGGTGGACGCCGTCATAGATGGCATATAAAGCAAATAAATCGCAAATAATCGTACATTATCCAAATGCATGCTGACGCTTCAAACGTGCTTCGGACGAGAGCACTGTCCGCGTTAATCGGATCGTGATTAAATAAAATGCCATTAATTTTGCATTCTGCGCTATATCACGTAAATTTTAAGAAAATTTTAATCGTTTAAATAATTTTTAGGAAAGCACGCAGCTATTATGACAGGTTTGGGAGGTACGTTTACGCGCGTCCACGCTAGTTTCCAGGAAGTAATGTCCGCAGTCGTAAATTAACGTGCGCGTTGACCATGTCGTTACTTCCTCTCTTCGCACCTAAGACGCGCCTTAAGCGCATTTCACTTCATGTATTTAAGATTCAATATTTGTCGCGGTCGCAAGTACGTGTAAAATGTCCAACCCCGTGTATAATCAGCATGCAAAAAGCGTGTGCAACGCGAGACAAATGAACGTAAATTCACGTTTAATTGTAAGTAGAAATAGCCAGCTCGCCAGCCGTAACAAGATAGGAATCTCGTCTTTGATGATAATATCCAAGAGATATTTGAAAACAAAATTTTGGACTAATTACGTATCTTTTTTCTCTATGTTATCTTATTCTAAATATATCTTAGTTTGCATAATTTTAAAGATGCACATCGCTTTTTATTTAAATCAAATTTTCTGCTTTACATAAAATGGGAAGTGATTCTTCCGAGCATATAGTTAATTTGCAGCCATAGTTTAGCATTAATATAAACTATTATATCATTTATATATTGTGAAATCAAAAAGTTATTTTTTTTTCAATGTAATAGTTATGTTATCCAAATCTAAGCGGAAAATATTGAAAGATTAATAATGACTGCGTTTTCAGAACACGACACTGCGTGCTGAGGTGTCTAATGTACATGAAAAGAATGATATACGCTCTTCCACAAAGACGAAATAACTCAGACGTGGATCGGGGAGAGGATCGATGACGAGGAGCCGCGCGGTAGAAAGGGCTCACAATCGCCATTGGTCCTTTTAGCCGCGGAAGCGTGGAGCCGAGTGGATTTACGGCGCGCAAGGATGAACATTGAGATTGGCACGGGTAGCCCGGAGACTAATGGACGCGCCATTCGCGAAAATGGCCGCCGCACCGTGCCCGTAAACAGAAATAGCACGATATGGTTCGATAAGGGCTATCATCAGCGACGAAAGTTGAAATCCTCGGATCGTGCGAAACAATGCGATGTGGAAACTATCGTTTTTATTTCTATTCGATTATATTTAAAAAATACTTTATATCTCCCAATTGTTATCAAAAAATTTATCTTCTTTTATCGATTAAATTATAAATCTTTCATATAAATATATTGTTGTCAAATCAATTCATATTTTTGCACACGCAAACTTGCATTGTAATCAGTGATTTGTTGCATATCGCCACTGATAAAGTGCGAAGTCTTATATTCATAAGACAACAATTGTCCCGGATATAACGAAGAAATGTGACATTTCTGACGACTAGTGAGAACCACTGCGCGTAGTTCGCTAAACGCGTGAAGAAGTGTTTTGCGGTACTTTTTCATGATGTTCTTCACGTGGCAGAAGCGTTTATCCATTGCTAAAGCGCGAACGGGAAAGAGAGAAGCGACCATCGTTTTACCGGCATAAAGTTTCGAGATAGAGGGGTCAAAGAAGGCGGTTGCTGCGCGAGCATCCTGCGCGTTTGGGACCAATCGGGAATCCACCTTTTGATCCCAGATGAGCCCTTTTTCGCTGTGGCAAAATTCGCTAGTGCGCAAGCCGAATCGTCGAGCTCAAGCACTTTTTTGGGAAAGAACCATAAAACGCGTGAATGCCTCGATAAAATAGAAATATAGGAGATCCATCCGCATTTTGTATGAATTTACAAAATTATGCTGTACCGATGGTATCGATAGGAAACACGATATTCTTGATAGATAATAAAGTATCTGAAATAAATTACATTGAAAAAGTAACAATTTAGTTGTATATAATATCGTATAAATAAGAATACATATTCACTGCAGTGGCAAAAGTAATAAAAAATATACAAGTTCTTGTTATATGTATGATTTTAATGAAGACCATTGATAACTGAGATCATCACATGATTAATGTAAATCCGCGAAGTCTGAGAAGTTTTAAATCCTAGAGATCTGTTTTTATGTTTATTTAATTTTTAACGTACTTACATATATTCGTTGATAAAGATATATAGCTATGTTAAATCGTACTGCTGAATTTTGTGGATCATTTTATGTACTACAATGTACAAAGAAAAAGGCAACATTTCGCGAATAATACAATGGGATTTGAAAGCTATTAGTTCTAAAGTAGGAAATCTCAGCTATAAACCGCCGCGATCCCGCGATCCCTACTCCGATCGGAGATATCGGGTAAGTGGGGGGGTTTTCCGAGGTGCGAGATATTCTTCCAACCTTACGGGATGACCTTCCTGTAGGAAGCTGGTGGGGATGCTGGGAGGTCCTTCTCTGGACCACAGACACGTGCCACTTGTCATACTTTCGGAAGTACTTGCTTTCGGTCGGTTCGAAGGGAGATTAGTACGAGATCAGGTGTGATCGATCAAGGAAGAACCGCGTGTTAAACCGCTCACAGTTGACTCGCGGATATTCTTTGCGGTACGAAATATTCTGTCGATCAAAAAATATGAAATCTTTTTACCTCAATATGCGGTGGTAAATAATGATACGACAAATTGTAATCGAGCTGTAAACTAATCCAAATAATTTACGTTAATAACTGTGAAATTTAAAGAAGAGAAAAATGTGAGAAGGCCATTGGAATACGTCAGTCGTCATCAAATTGTAAAGTGCGCGAATTTAATTTATTGGAACGTATGTGCCGTCGTCCGAGTAAGATCGGAATTGTCGACCGTAGCCGAGATCGATGATTTTTTACAAGATGGAACTCTATCAAAATCGCGAGAAAATGAACGATGCCATTTACGATCTTCGTCGGACGCGATCGCTGCCGAGCGAGAACGAAGCCTTTTCAAACAACATCGAGAGAGGCTGCATGTCACCGACCGCCAATAGAGAGTCTATCGAGTATACATCCGATTCGAGCTGCGAGGGTTACAGGGAATATCAGAAACAACAGACCGAGAGAAGAAATTCATCCCCGATCGCGGCGTCTAGTGCTTTCACCATCGACAGCATCCTTGGGAGAAATGAGAAGAGAGAAATCTCAAGAATAAACAATTCCGGCGATAAGGAGGAAGATCAGGACGAGACGGAGGACAGGATAGAGGGTCATTTCGTCAAGCCGACAGCGATACCAGCCACACGTACTGGTAATGTAATACGTCATAAACATGTCCAGAAAATTAGACCATCATAAAAAAAGTATTTGTTTGTATAAAAAATAATACAAGCTAAGAGAAAGTTAGATAATTATAATATTAAAAGAAAATATTCGATGCTTCTAAAGTTCTAGAGTTTGAAATTTTAAAGTTTTAAAATTAAAAGAATATAACAAAACATAATATAAAATAGATTCTCGTGCATTCATGGACGAAATAATTACATAGATGTAAATTATATCATATATTGTTTAAAATAATTGATAATAAAGAGACTATTACAATCTCATAAATGTACAAACAGGCTTCAAACTTATTATACAATTATACAATTTAATACATACAATTTAATGCATACGATTTAACAGATATAGAAGGGAGTTTGTATACTCATGCGGGACTGCCATACTCCGAAGGTGCGCTACCCGATTCCTCGGCATATTCTGCAACATCACTCGCATCAGCCTCATTACTGTACAGTAGCTGGTTTGCTCAAACAAAGCCTGGACAGCTGTTTGGTTTACAAGGTAAGCTGAAACCTTTAGAATCAAATTCAGTATTATCCGCAAAAGTATATCAGATCTATTCTTCATAAGTTTCTTTCGAGGAGCTTTTAAATCCAGTAAATTTTATCTTTAGAAAAATTCAGTATGTTGGAAAATATAAAACCTATTGTATCAAATCTGCTTTTGAATTGCCCGATTTTTTTCAAAGTATCCAATGCTATCGGTTAATTACAAAAATGTACGATGAGTATGCTATAGATACATAGGGGTCCAAGGAAAATTTTCACGGTGGCAGAAATCTTTTTCTTCGTGTCTGAGGCACTAACGCTGTCAGGGAATCGTGACGACAAAGGACTCTAATTATTATCGTAATAACTTACCACCGTAATTCTATTTTCGCGCACAATGCCGGGAAAGGTGTAAGATGGGCACCCTCTTTCTCGGCCTCAACGAATATTGGATATTATACGAGGCGCCTACGATAACAGCTTTTCGACACGCGAGGCACACATCAGTGGCCCAGTTGTTGCATCCCCCTGTTTTTGGCATGTTACTGGCGAAATATTAAACGCTTGGCCGCGTAATAATCGCACATTTAATCATATGTCGTAATATTATATTATATTTTTCCTAATACAATGCTATGTAAAATTTTAGTATTTTATTACTTTATTGAAAACTTTTTATTTTTTCCTATCATTCTTTTGAGTGTTGATTTATTTACGATTTTTTTAACGACTATAACCCGCGAACATTGCAGATTGGCCACATAAGTTTGTTAAATCTATATAAAATTGCAGAAGAATTGCCACGTTATGCGACAATTTTTATTAGTTGAAATCCCAAGTATTTCGCGATTTTGAGATAAGATTAAAATCCGCCATCGCGTTGTTTCCCCCCTTTCCGGCTACTATCCGCCATACTGTTAGGAGCCCATTTATCAGCACCGTTGGTCTAACTATCTTCCACGAAGGTGTTAAATGTCTCTGTACACTCGTAAATCTTAGTCCCGCCGGTTCTTCTTCTTCGTCACCGTGCGTATTCTCCTTTCCGGTCACCACAGCAGTCTTTCAATTTCTAAGAACGCGATCATCTTTGTGATTGTGTCTATCATATTTATAATCGAATTTATTATCCTACATATTTTGATCTATTCCATAGTCGCGATAAAGCGACTTTTAAAATTTTACGAATTGAATTCAATAAATTTATCGTGTTTAATATAATTGTATCATATATGTTACACGTGTCTTCTGTTGCTAGAAAAATGTTAGATAAACAAATATATATTACGCTATTAACTAAAGAAATAAAATGCTTCTTGAATATTATTTGCACGTATACATAGCAATATCAAAAGTTTCCTATTGACAAAATAAATTACACGTGTATGTGTATGTGTGTGATTGAAACATTAAAAGTCTCTAAAACCTGTTGCGAGAATTTGCGTAATAGTTAACGTAACGTTATGAATTAAATAAATCGGTACTTCAAATACGTATAAAATACAATTAGATCCTTTCTCTGAATTGGAAAAGAACTCCGAAACCGTTAATTTAACTACGGTTAAAAAACATTGAGATATTTTTGAAACGTGCTACGAAGGATATCCGAATTTTTTTATTAAACGTTAACGTAATTTATCTGAAATTATACAAAACAAATTATTTTGCGTAAAGTATAAGATGTCACATTCTAACTGTTAACAACTGTTCTGCGTAATAAAAATCTAACTGTTCTCCATAGTCGGTAGACACACTGGAAGGGTGTCCTGTAAAAACGCAAAGGTCTTGTACAAATACACGACATCTATTTGTTGACTTGTCGTGTAAGGGCCGCCCGGCTAACCGGTGATTAAACATCGGTGAGGAAAGAGTAAAAAAAAGTTTCTATTTCTATGTGAAAACATTATCTTGGAAGTATCCCGTCACGCGAGTCCGTGCTACTTTTCAGGATTCGAACAATTGTTATCGAGAAAAAAAAATTACTCCATTATGTACAATTTATGAACAATTTTATAATGTCCTCATATTTGCAGCGTTTCTATATTAATTAACATTATTTAATTAATCACATATATTTTTTTACATATGTACATATATAAATTATAAGAGTGAACAATATGGTGATAAAAAAATAATAAAATTGCACGAAAACAATTATTCTAAAATAAATAATGATTAGTTAGACTTTTCTTTGAACGATATTTTTACATTATTTTGAAGGATTAAATAATATTCTTGTAATATAGTTTTAAATTTGAAAATAAAATAGGAAAATATCATGTATCTTTGCTTAGTTCAGTATATATAGCATCAGCACCAAAACAGCTGTTGTTGTTACTCTAAAATGTTGCATCGCGTTTCGGTGTTTGCATTCTAGCACGAATTATTCGCGGATATATTTGCCAATGCGATTAACAATTCCCCTATTATTTTAGCGCATCTAATTACGTTATAATGTCTCATATCTGCTTTTCAAAGGAAATGTGTAGTACTTCTTTGCACTAGGATGATAATCGCATCCAAACGTTCTCCGTCATAAACTGTTTGCACAGCTCGTTACCGCTTTGCCTCGATGGTGTTGACTGTAGGATGTCACACATTCCGCAAACAGTTCTACACGTCTCGGAGATGTTCTCGGTGATCCTAGACAGAACTCGACGGGTGGTGCTTCGAAATCGTAAGGTGATAATTGAGCCCGAGCTGGCGAAGTTAGCCGTGCAATTAAGACGCGTGATTAGAATATTAAATTTTGATTATCGCGACGATAAATCTCCGAAAATACCATCAGCGTCAGAAACTGTCAGACGACTCAAGGGGCTCTCACGTAATTGATCACTAATGTACTCGGTCGACACAGAGAGCGTCATGCAGTTACGTTACATCTATGTTATAATTTTATGTATATATTACATTTAGTGTCAAATGCGAAATTATAACATACATGCAATGTAACTAACGCTTTGCGTCGAGTAGTGAACTGGAGTAGTTAACATTGCCGTTCACGCGACAGTCAATAATTGTTAGTGCGATGAGGTGAGGACTGATTATTCTTGCAGCACCCAAACCGAGTGGCAGGAGGTCGAGAAAACCGGGTATCGATCGGAAACCACGTCAAGCTTACAGTGCAAAACAACTGGAAAGACTTGAGGCCGAGTTCAAGGTACGATTTGCAAAGTTTCCCATTGTTCGTACAACCAACCCTCTGTACCAATAACGTTATAATTTTTTTCTTTTATATTTTTTATTTCATCGTAGATCGACAAATATCTTAGCGTGAGCAAGCGGATGGAGCTGTCCAAGTGCTTGAATCTCACCGAGGTGCAGATCAAGACGTGGTTCCAGAATCGCCGCACAAAGTGGAAGAAGCAGCTCACGTCCAGGCTGAAGATCGCGCAGCGGCAGGGACTCTTTCCACCGACGTACTTTCCGACCACCCAGTATCCCCTTCTTCCGTACTACGCGGCGCCTTTGATGTTCGGTGCCCCTTTGTCGGACGACGCGAATTCTAGCTTGCCGACCCGACCCGCCGTATCGTCTTCTGATACGGTCTGACGCAGTGCAGACTCGAACTACTTGGTCGATCGTCGGCCGGGCGACCGCGAAGTGCAATAAGACCTTCCGTTGGCCATTGCGAAGTCCTCGGGATTGCTTCCCCCTTTCTCTTTTCTTTTTTTTTTACATTATCTACGGATATTTTTATTCTATGTTAATTTAAATACCATTGATATAATAAGAATCTATTCCGTAAAAGTGCGCGAATATTGCAAAGCGACTTCTTTCAATTATGATGCGTCTTTGAAATCTCTCGATATCATTGAGACTGTGTTGTATATAAAATTTAATTATATAGTTATGTTACAAATGTTTCGTGTAAAAGTCTCATGCTAAATAGATATGCTGTGAATTGATTCATGACACTTTCTAGCGGCAGCGAAGTAAGATTGTATTCAAGAAACACAGTCGCATGGACGATTTCTTCAAATTATCAATTAATTTTCTAGACCAATTATTTCTGTTGTACATAAAATGCGATAATTGTAGATTTATATTTATGTAACGCCTACGGGGATCGTATAAAAAAATAGACGACTGAATTTACTCGTGACGTTTCCTTTCAGTAATCGAACGAGATTGCATTCCGATGATATTCACGTAGAAGATATACGGGACAGTAACTTCACGTTATGTACTATATGTTATTCAGGTCAATCTTTATATAAAATATTACAGATTTATGTAATGCATATACGAGAGAAAACGTGTGAAAGATAGACGAGCTCTAAATTCACTGCGACTTTACACGGTTCCGGCGAGACAAGATTCCATCCAAGCGGCAGTCATGTGCAAGTGACGCGAATGCGACACAACACTAGCCGTACGGAAATACAGTGTAGGGAACACATGAAAATAATATGGAAACGATATGGAGATGACGTTTATACAGACGGAGCGTCCCGACGCGGATGCGACGTCTCGCGCTTTCTCCTTTCCGAGCGGCCGTCAAGAAAAGCCGTGCTTGTCCTCGGAGAACTTATGAAACGAGGCACAAAGAAGCGGTTTAATTGAAGGGCTTATAAGGTGCGCCAGGAAAAAAAACTGCACTTTATCATTTTTAATCAAGAGCGAGATAAAAAAGAAATTTCTTATCGCCCATCAAATTGCGCGGCGGAGAAATGCACGAAGGATGCAAAGAAGGATAAGAAGATTTTGCGCTCAATGAAATAATGATGTGTACGTAAGAGTCTGATTCGAACTGTTATACATAATTTAACGTCTTCCGCTTACACGCGCGCAAATGGAACAAAGCTTACGCGGCATAGGGTATAATTTATCGACGAAGAGATACGGGCGAAACCGCAGCATTACATGTGTTATCGAAGCGATTCGTATGCAACGTGCAATTCAAATATATACACTCGGGAGTTAGAGTCGCGCATCTTTTTGTAAAGTTTATGGAAGAGCCGCGGCAATGTAGCTTAAAAATGAGAAAGGCGTATTCTGAATTATCAAACGTACAAGGAACAAAAAAAGAAACAGTAAAATAGTATCGAGAAGAGAGAGAGAGCGTCTGCGAATAAGTACTTTTCCTTCTGCGTCAATAAATTATATTCTATCGCGAAAGCCTTCTTCCTCCTTGACGAAGATAATACACTACAAGTTTCTTTTGCCTTAAATCTTGCACGCGCGCAAAGGAACAAAGTCTAATGGAAAAAATGCAGGAGTAATTACAAGCTTTGACGTAGCCGTGAGCGCAAACGCTTAAGCGTTAAGATGAAGTTATATGTATAATGGAAAGTTAATGGTTCACGATGCATATAATTATTCTTTCCGCCGAGTAATCAAACGTTAATTAATCCGGGTAAAAGTTCGGATAAAATTCGCGGCGTGCGTTGTCAGACGTTTCTCTCCCCCCCGCAACACCCCTCGCTGTTCCTCGGCTCGCGTTTTTCCGCATTATCGTCGCGCCCGGCGGTCGACTTATCAGTCTCGCAGGCGGCGTGCCGTCCCGCCGGGCACTTCGTCCGCGTCAACCCCGGAAACACGGCGAACTTCTTGCGCTTTTTCGCGCGCGGCACCGCCCGCGCCACCGCGACCGCGCTAGTGCCGGGTTGGCACAATGTGCTGGTCTCCCGCGTCTTCACTTTGACGGACGACTGCACGGTGCGCAGCACCAGCAGCATCGGGCTGCAGCTCTTATCGAGCGTCGGGGGGGACGTCTCCGCGTGAAATTTATGAGCCGAAACTTGGACGCACTTGTCGGACTGCTCCGGTCGGGAGACGGCCGCGGCCGCGGCCGCGATCGCCAACGTGTTCTGGGCGCACAAGTAACAGCAGCTCTTCTCAAAGTCCGCGATCGATGGCGGTTTCACCGGGACCGGACGCCGATCCTCGACGCCGAGGTCATCGTCGTGCGCGTCGTCCGCCGGACGCGCGTCCACGGGATGCCGCGGAATATGTTCCTCCTCGCGTTTACGCCTCTCTCTCCTCTGCCGCCTCTCTTCCTGCTTCGCCTCCCTTTTCCTCTCCTCTCTCTCCCGTTTCCTTCTCTCCTTTCTTTCCTCCCTGGGCTCCTCGGAGACGTCCTCCCTATCGGAGACGACCTCCACCGCCTCCTCGTCTTGTTTACGACCTCTCCTAGATTTCTTCGGGGCATCTCGATAGCTTATCGATTCTCGATGCGGCACAGTTGATACACCGGCACGGGCGACCGCCACCGTATCGTCGGGCTTCCCGCACTCTTTACTTCGTGCCTTTATTCGCTCGAGAACTCGTCTTGCCGGCTTCCTCAAAACACGGTCGGAACATCTTTTCTTCGCGCGGCACAATCTCAGGCACCACAGGCGCAGATTAACGCAGGATTTCGATCGGTATCGCGACGAATCGACATCGCGCGTATCAGTACCGATATGTTTCTGCTCCGTTTTCTCAGGATTTCTCGTTACATCTCGCTGACCTTCCTCTATATCGCTGACAGGAGACGCGACAGGCTGATCTAACGGCATCGCTGCAAATTCAGTCTAAGGATTAACATCCTAATCCGATAAACACATATTAATGCGCGCGGAAATGACAATTATATCGAGGAGTCCTTGGGGGTTAATTAAATTGTCCAATTAAACTGATCCGTTCATTCGTTTTCACATGTCCCGATACGCGCGTATACCATATTGTATATCGCTTTTGATGTATTAAACTCGGATGTATATTTCCGGTTTTAACAACGAAAAGAGAAACGATACCCGTACAGCACGCGCGGAGAATTGAAAACGAAAACGTAGTAGAAGCGCGCCGAGGAAATGGAGTTATTTTTCAGGTTGATTCAGAGTTGAATGTATATACGTTGCTTACCGGTGGGTCCATACGTTGAGGAATACGCGGCGTTTTGCGATAAATGCGCCTCGTATTCCGTTTGTGCATTTTTCGAGGCAGATATTTGTTCCTTAGGACGTCGTGATGAATGATCGGGGTACCGAGCGACGGGCACGGATCGATCCGCACTTACGGATTCATCCGAATTCACTGTCGGACGCATTTTCATCCAAGCGGATTTTTTTGGGTTCCATTCGTCAAGGATTTAAATGATTAGCGATGAAATAAATGGCTTTGGTATATAAATTACTGCTCTCGCAATTTCCATCTAATAAATTATTTCCTCGGATCGTGTCGGGCCTTCGAAGAGAGAAAGGATATAACGATTGGATAAATATGCACGTGTATTAGCTCTCTTTTAACTCGACTTGATTAAATTAATTTAATTTTCAAGCCATAATTAGAAAAGTTTATGTTCATTAAGGTTAATATATCGCACACTTTTGGATAAAATATCAACGAACGGAATAATACTAACGGATAGCGTCTATAATTTCATTCCATATATCGGGTTTTTGCTTGTTACTGGTAAAAAGTAAAATTGGCGCGCGGTCTCATCGTATTTCGTCATATTGAAATGTATGATTCATTAGTGAAATTTTTGAGTTTAGCTAAAAACTGTCAACGAGACAAAACGACTTGTTCATTGCTAAGAACTTTGCCGCGAGAAGAGAGAGATTTCTCTAACATATCTATATTGAAGAAATACCGCGTAAAGTTAATTAAATGTTTTATCATCTTTTATTTAAAAATATTTTAAGCATTATATCATATAAGTATCATTTCCTACGGCAGTAAAAGAGAATTTCCTTTATCGCTCGATAGATGAGAATTTAATTGCTTGTAGATAAATGTTCCTGATGACGCCATTAGCTTATCGTATGTAAAGTACGATAAAAAATGGCTCTAAAATTAAAAATAAGCATATGAAATAAAAAAATTAAATTAAACTTGTTTCAACTTAAAATTGATGCAAAATTTTGTTGGGAATAATTCAACCGTGAATAAAAAGTATATGTGTCTCGTAATTATAAAAATTCTGTCTTAAATTTCAGTTAATTTTATTTCTTAAAAATATAAATTGTGCGAAAATGAATTATTCTCTGCTTGAAATTATTGCTGAAAAGAAGACCGAAGAGATTTATTGTGTAAAATTATAGGAGGTGTCTCTAACTTTCGGACAAGACTATTTTCGCTGTAAAAGTATAAAAAAAGCTGCATTTTATTATATAATCCAAATTTTCCGAAATTTCAGAAGTTTAACATGTAGCTACGCATTTCGTCATATTCAAAACTGAAGAGAATTTTATCATTTAAACGTCAATGTCTTTATCGATTCTTTACATCTTCCCAAAAAACTCCAGTATAAATAAACATTGCGCCGATCGCGCGCGGGGAGCTCTCGAGCTGGGCGATAAGTGATAACGGGTCGAGGAACGCGCGCGAGAGCGCGTCAATGCCGCGTGACGTCACGTCGGCGAGCGCGATGGCGGTTGGAGCGCGCGGCAGCCGTCGCCCTCTGGCGACGTCGTTTCTTGGGCGCCCGGAGACAGTCGGACTGTCGGAGACGGCTCGCTCGCATCGCGCCGCACGTACGTCGTCTCGTAGCGCAGCTGGTCGCGCGGTCACAGGGAGGCCGAAGGTGGCAGGACTGTGTCAGTGGCGACTGGCGACGGTGGCGACTGTTGGCGCGCGCACGACTTCCCCCAGTCCTCAGTACTCCTCAGTGCCCGTGAGCCGTGAGTGTGGAGCGCGAGCGTGTGTGTGCGTGTTTTGTTGCCGCTGCGATGCGTCCGTTAAATATCGAGTGGCCGTTGTCGTCCTTGTCGCGCCGTGAGTGAAGAAGCAAGCGGCCAGCGCGCGGCAGCAGGGGTCCCCCCTCGTCAGCTGTTTCAGCGGACCGGAGCGACAGCAGCGGAACGGGGAACGCCGCCGCGAGGCTGTGGGGAAAGCGAGGAGGTTCTGGGAGAGAAGTGCCGACTTGCCCCGAGACGGTTGCTGAGCGACGAGCGTGAAGTTAGTCACGGAAGTCGGGCTACGAGGGGCGGACGCGGGGCGGACCGATCCGAATTCGTGCGCGCGGTTTGCGTCGGTCGGTCGCGACGGGCGCGACACACACGGTCGGGGCTGCGCGGGGTCGTGTGCGGAGTGCGGTCATCATCCGCGTGCGAGGCGCGATCCCCGACGGGAAAATAATGGCGTAGACCTCCGGGCCGCGCTCCGGAAACGAGAGAGAAAGAGAGAGTGAGCGTGCGGAGAGGTGGAACGCGAGGGAGAGGAGGAGACGGCAGCGAGCGACAACGAGGGAAGAAGAGCGACAGAGCGAGCGAGAGAGAGAGAGAGAAGGAGACGCGCGCCGCGTTCATATTCGTCCGTGTCGTGGCGGTGGCCGTGTCGAGAGCGCAGCCGATCGCTCCGCTGTAGCAGCGCGCGTCCTCGCCGTCCGTCGTCCACGTAGATTGCCGTCGCGAGCGAGCGAGGCGGAACGCGGAGTACCTCGTCGTCGTCGTGGTGAGACGAGTCGGTGGTGTGTGCAGTGCTGCTGGAGAAAGAGAGAGAGCAAGAAGGAGAACATACTAGTGCGAGAAAGAGAGAGAGAGAGAGAGAAAGAGAGGAGGTGGTGCGGAACGCGTCGTTCTTTCCTCGTCGCCCTCGTCGCGGTCAACCCTGTTGCTGGCGACCGCGCCGCGCCGCGCCGCGCCGCGTCGGGGCTTCTGTTTTGTTTGTGCTCTCTTGTCCTCCGCGCGCGGGGAGGAGGAGGAGGAGGAGGTGGTGGTGCTGCTGCGAGGCCGACCGCCAGGGTATCCAGCGCGGCGTGTCCCGACTGCAGCGGGGAATATTGTATTACGATGATCAGTGACACGTGCGGATACGTTCTCTTCCTGCTGCTGCTGCTGCTGGTCCCGTACATCGAGAGCGGTGAGTGTTCTTATACCAGTTTTTACCCAGCGAAACACTTTCCCGATTACGCTATTTCGGTTTATACGTGTCCGTCTACGTACGTTCGTCGTCTCACGTTCAGGCCGTTCAGGCGTCGCGCAGAACGCGAGACGCGAGTGACGCGACCTGCTCGCGCGCGTTCGTGTGCGTGCGTCTGCGTGCGTGCGCGTCTCTCGTGAATCATCATCCGCTCCCAAGGAGCCCGCTTGTCGCGTGTCTCCACGCGCTCGCCCGCGCCCGAGCGAGATAACTCGCGCCGCGCGATACGTCGCGAGATTGCGGACGAATTTTGGCTTCTTCGAGCGAGCGTTGTGAGAAAAATGTCGGAGTTGCGTCCGAGATTGTTCTTTAACTCCAGTTTTTAATATACTCGCGCGAGACCAGCGTCATTGTCGGTGCACTCATCTGTTCGCCATTCTTTTGTCTGATATTCCGCGAGCCTCTCCCGTGCGTCCGCGTCGTATAAATTTGCAATGAATTTTATTGTCCGTAGAAATACAGATCACACACAGAGTTAGTACGTACAATTGGATCGACTGAGAAATAATCGAATCGAATATCGTAAAATGTCCGTTCTATCGTCTAGCTAATATTTCTTTTTTAATATTTACTTTTCAATAGTTTCAGATCTTCCTATTGTTTGCATGATTTATCGTACGATATATTTCTAACATTTTTATAGATCCTGACAATTTTTTCGGAAAACGCGTTATATGATGAATGGTTTTCATACATTTTGAATGAAACGCGTTAATAAAAGAAAAATTTGACTCGTTGTAATAGAATTTATTGTGTAGCGCCTTTTTTCAGAGCCGAAGAAGCTGCAAGATGCGCGTTTAAAAGCGGAGTAAAGGGCTTTGAAATTTTTCTTTTATTAACGCGTCTTATTCAAAACGTATGGTAGCTAACTATTCATCATATAACGCGTTTTCAAAGAATTTGTCAGGATCTATAAATATGTTGGAAATACGCGATCCCTACGATAAATCATGCAAATAATACGGAGATCCGAAAAACCATGAAAAGTATATATATATGCTATTGAAAACTGAACATTACAAAAAAATATTCGAATGATAGGATTTACATATACGCAGTGTTTACATAACCGACTCAAAACTCAACTCGGTCTCCATCGTTGTATCGAATCGATGATAACGTTGTGCAAATTTATCCATTCCATTTGTTTTTGAAAATCAATATAATACCGTTTTTCTATCTTGTTCAAACTCTTCGGTAGAGAGATAATAAATGTTTCCCACCGTATAATAATGTTAATATTGCGTGCGTGCCGGTTATTAATAATAAGCGTTTTCTCAGAGATTATTACACGATTATTTACTTTCCATTTTTCGTGACGATATATTCTTTAGCCGTTATACAAACAGCCATCAGTTATAATTCTTTCCTTTGAACGTTTTGCGTGTTATGCTAGGAGGAAATGTGATGCAACGAATCGTCGTTTCCATCGGAATTTCGAGCGAGTTAAGAAACGCAGCTGAATGCGATTCTAAAGTGAGTCACAGACGAAAAGCATGAATCACCGTCGTAATCAGATCACTTTCCAACGTTTCTCACGGCCTTTGCCATCTAGTAGAACATCGCTATGCGTCATTTAATTTTTCGATTTTAATGTTCAAAACTCGTAATTTTTACGCTTAGCTCTCTCATCGTTTCATCTGAAGTCAACGTAAACTTTTATCCGCCGTTGCGTTGCCCTTAGTAACAGTTCAGTTAAATACGAGGAGACCATGTTTTATATTTCTGAACAGTTTTAAACTCATTTTGAGAAACTAATTTTAAATTGCGAAACACGCGCAGAACCCTGCGTTTACTCTGAAAAGAGGCTGAAGTACCACCTGTGTTTGTTTGTCCCGTTTCCTTCTATCGCCTTTTCCGTCCCGAGAGCGAGCGATAGAAAATTAATCTTTTACGCCAGAAGACTCGACGCAGAATTTCGCAGCGACTGAACGGTCTCGCGCGAAACAGCGAGAATAATCTGAGTTTTGCAAAGGAGATCCGTGCGCAATCGCGCGCCGAATCGTAGCGAGACGGATTGCGAAAGTTCTCTCTTTCTCTTTCGGATCCGCGATGCGATGTGAATGGCCCTCGACGGAAGTTGCAATCAACGATCACCGCCGCGCGCCGCTGGACGATGACGATAGTTGTACGCACGGTGCGTTCGCGCGCACGTCATCGTGTTATTTACGGTTACGGGGAAGAATAGTAAGTTCCTGTCCGTGCACGAGGTTCCCGTGCGCGAGGAGGACGGGCCGACAGTCGTGGCAATTTCGCGAATATAATTTATGGAAGCCTTATCCCGCGCTTATCCCTCGCGATCAGTTAAAACTGTTAACGGCACGGGCGGGAGATTAAGATTCATCGGCGATTAATACGCGATTTCGCGTACGACGGCGTCTCTCGCGAATCTCGAGTCGTTTTGTCGCACGTTGCGCAGTTTCGACGCGTTCCCAGGCGAGCGATCATCCGGAAGTCCTCGCGCGTGTAAGAATCTCGTCGCATGTACGAGGCTATCGTATTTCAAAGGATCACGCATGCCCGGGACTTGGTAACCGCGCCGGAGTTCTCTCGCGTGAAGGACTTTTGGCGTGCACCGAGGATTCAGCATTTATATAGACCCTCATACGTGTCGCGGGTGTCTTCGCGTGTGTAAGTAGCTTTTTATACGCAAACGAACGCCGCGCGACAATGAGAGGGAATACGCTTTCTTCGTGTTTCGTTCGAAGCCATGAACGGAGTTCGAGGATCGCTGTAACCTATATGCCGAATGCGCGGTAAAATACCTATATCATAGTGACACGCGATATTTCTTCCGGAAACGGAGGCGAGACGTTGGTCGTCGCGCGGGCTCCCGAGTACCTTTTTATCGAATTTAATTATCGCCGATTTCCTGCTGCTTTTCGCGCGAGAGACGCGAGTCCGTCGTTTTCCATCGAGAGCTATCGAGTTCTCCGGTTAATGAAAACCTTGGCGGAAAAGAAGAGAAAAGAAGGGTACGTAGCGCGCGATGGGTTTTTGCTCTCGAAGTGAGCATTTCGAGAGGCAAACAGAAGAGGAGAAGAACGAGGGAAAGAGAAAGAGAGAGAGAGAACTCGAAAAAAACGCTGGTTTCGAGCAAAAGGCCGCTTTGGGAGGTTGCATTGTGTCCGGAATATGAAGATAGGAGTTAGGGCGGATGGGCCGGGTCATTTAATTCTCCCGCGGAGGCCGCGTATCTTAAGGACAAAAGGTCGGTTTTTCTTTCACGGACTTTTCAATTCCTCGGTGAACCACCTCCTCGTGCCAGCCGCCCGTTCGCCTCCACCGCGGGCAAACTTACTTGGCGAGATATCTTCAAGCGGGGCACGTTGCTGCCATCTTCATCTCGAAACGTTATACCGAGAGCGCGAGACGTGCGCTCTCCGTTTGCCCGAATAACGTAGCCTCGGAAGCCGAGACGTTGCCTTTTTCACGTGATGGGAATTATATTTCTCTCCCCCACACCCTTGCCGCCCACCCCGTAATTGCGCGGAGACGATTCGTTCGCGGAGAGAGACGCGAGAGAGAACTTTGGTCGAGAGAAACTTGGAATTAATTCGCGTCGTTGGTAATCCCGACGTCTGCCGCCGCCGCCATCGTCCCTCGAAGATCGAGCTTAGTTTAGTCCCAGTTTCTGATTTCTAACGTAATCAAGCCGATATTGCGCCCGCGGTAACGCCGTAACCACGCGCCGCATTCGGGGACTTCCATTATTCCGCGCCGTGTCCTTCGAAATGGGTTTTCCGCCCAGACAGCGTTTTGTGTTCAAGGTCCGTCGTGTCTGGCAAGTGTTTCAGGTCTCTCGGTTGTGCGAGACGATATTGTAATTCGTAGATTCGCACGCGAGCAAAGTTTCTGAAACACTTTACGCTTCAGAACGAAACGTTACTTCTTTCTCTCTCTCTCTTCTTTTTCTTTCTTTCTTTCTTTCGCGATAAGTTTTTAAAAAAGTTATATATTGCCGAGAAAACTATATGTGCGTACTTTAGCAATTACATCCACATTCGATAAACTCGAATAAGCAGGAGGGGATAGAGAGTGCACTTTTCTCTGAAACAAGAATGTGGTTGCGTCATATTGTCATATATGTTGGCGTCAGATGCTGGTATTATATTCTGAGACATTTTACATTATCATCGGCTTAATAGTTTCTTATTTGTCTCAATACTTGCTTTACATTTTAGATTGTTTGTACTTTATGAGTAACGATAATATACATTGCGAGTTGAAAGCTGGCAGTTACACTTCTGTGAAGTTGACATTTTAATTAGCTAATATTTTATTTTACATTAATATAATGGACTTTATAGTTACATCAATATTTAGAAAATGAGGCACTAACTTCACAAAGACGACAGCTACAAAATCAAAGTTGAGACGTATTCGTAAATATAATTATTTACGTATTTTTATATTTAAAATTATTTAATATTAAAAATTTTCCGAGATTGCATGTTTGAAAAATCTCAACAGATCTCATAATAATGCTCTCGTAGCATATATAATTATTATAGTATAATGTTTTTATGTTCTTTTTTTTGCTTAATTTGCTATATTGCTCAGATCCAATATTTATTGCTAATTAATCAAGGGGTTAAACTATTTTTATGGCACGTTTTTTTGGAAGAGAGAGAGAGAGAGAGAGAGAGAGAGAGAGAGAGAGAGAGAGAGA